TTGTCCTGATTGTGCCCTGAGCAGTTTTATGACTGAATAAAAACAAATAAAATCAACATAAATTGAAAAATCGTCCTAAATAATCGAGATCTCAATTTCAGTCACAATAATCGTGATTATTGTTTTTGCCATAATCGAGCAGCCCTAACTTCTGGCTATTTTCACAACATTTGTGATAAACTTTTACGGTAAAATGATGTAATGTAATATAATAATGTTATGCTTGTGATTCTTTAATCTATATTTCCTCCTAAAAACAATAAAAAAGATGCAGTAAAAACTTTCTTGTTCACTCTTTTGCAGCAAGCTTATTTACCATTTATGAAAGTTATTTAAAAAGATGTAATCTCACTCAGTTTAACCATATTTTATTTGAGGTAGTTTAGTCCTTATAATGGACAAGAAGTTCTGTGGATTTGGAAATGTTTGCTCTTGACTGCCTAAGGGAAACTGAATATTTCAGGGGAACATAATTTTCCACAACACCTGTTTCACGTGGATCACGGTGCGCCCGATGTAAACAAACATGCTGCCGCTAACAGCTTATATGGATATGGAGCGATCACTGGCTGCTCGTTAACGACGGCTGGTGAAGGAGTGTTGGTGAACTGGGGACACGCTGTGGAGGTCAAGTAAACGATGCTGACTTATCCACCAGCTAATCGTGGCTCACGGCTGGCGTGGTGGAGATGGACGTCACGAGCTACTAGTTAACCATGACTAGAGGCGGGGAGACGCTGTGTATGATGCGTGCAAACTCCCACGGATTACCAGCAAAAGGAGATCCAAGGCTAAAGGTAACATTTGAGAAGAAGCCCTCTGTGTCGGATCGTCTCTGTAACGCCTGGAGAACTACATCGCCGTTAGTAGAGTGTTGTGGAGATAAAGTAAACCTCTGATTTAGCCACTGGCTGGCGGACGAGCGCTGGAGTGTGTTGGGTGAGACGGCAGGCTGCAGGAAGAGAGGACACTTGAGTAGGACTTTGGAACGGACACATTGGGACCGGATCGGGAGTTCTGGTACTAGGAAAAGACGGATGAACAACTTGAGGCGAGTTTAGGAGTCAAAGACACTAATCAGAGGCTGGCGTCCAGCTAATGGCGGGCGGGGGTCTGAACATATGCGGCTTCCTCGTGTTGGACATGATGACGAACTGAAAATTTTGATGTGTCTTTTGATTTGTTTATTATGCAAACTAACAAGTACAGCAACGGTGTAGCTTTTCGATTTATTAGTTGAATTAGCAGACTCCATGCTTCCGGGGCGCACTGCTGCCCTCTGCTGGTTCTTTCAGGTTACAGTCATGATCAAACAGGTAACATGGAGCTCGTATGTCCCTAGTAGGGCTGCAACAAACGATTATTTGGATAATCGATTAATCGGATGGGGTCTCGACACGATTAATCGATTAATCGATTACATGGGGAAATTTTTAAAAACTGCTAGGGAAACGTTATTTCTCTCCTTCCTTCACTTTATTTAACACAACATTATTAGAAAACAGTTCAATAGCAGAAAAACAACATGCCATCACCTAAATTGTCTTATAAGGTGTATAGACAGAGACCCTAAGCTACATCTATCTGTGACCTAAAATGCTTGGTCCAAGTTAAACAGCTTAAGGGCAATTCTCATGTGTTTTGTTTGATCTCATCTGTTGACATTTATTTTAAATGTAATTAAACATAGGCTGTGAATTAATCAAAATTAATCACTATTTCCAAAAATGACTGAAAAAATACCAAATAAAGCAAAAGTAAATGAATGCCATCCTCCTTGCGATGATGCCCTGGGCAACTGCCATAAAGTCACATCAAGAAATGCTGCTGATCATTCCAATGATCCCAAATAGACTCACATTAGGCCACATGAAAGCAACTGAACCCAAAAATATATTAACCAGTATATAACTGCACTCTCACACAACACGCCTGCAGCAACAGTTAGGACTCCTCCCTCCCTTTTAAAAGCGTTTTTGCTTCTGAGGACATTGTGGTTGTAAAACCACATGCTAGTAGTCTGGCCCCGGTGTGATCAACCAGTTTCTGCGGGAATGTGACGGCGGAACCAGGGCCAGATTAACACTTTGTTGTACCCTGGGCAACAATATTCAAGGGCTCCATCATCACAACCCAAGGATCACCATAATGTGGTCACATACAGAATATTTTACTGTAATATGCAGTAAATATACTCAATACTTGAATGCCTGACAACACGTAACCTGCCCAGAGTAACCTTTGACCCACCTCGTGTGGACTGACCAATGAGGAGAGGGTCTTAACTTGAGGCCCTCTCTTCATTGGTCAGTCTGCATGAGACTGACTCTCAACTGACGTTCAGTCATAGGCAGCGAAGCATCTCTGTGCAGCGCAAAAGCCCGGGTGGACAGTTTGTTTAATGTAGGGTGATCATATTTCCATTTCCAAACAAGAGGACAGGGGATCTGTGCCTATGACGTCACACTATGGCAACGCCAAACAAACTATGTTGGGACCCATTTTTTGTAAGAACTAAATTAATATCAGATTCTGCCAATAAAAGGGCTCTAAAACAATTCCTATGTAAATATTTTGTATATTTAATGCAAAATCTAATTTTTCTGCTTTAGTGCTGCAACAAGGTTTTATTAATAATAAATTATTATACCTTTTGTTTTACTACAGCATCGGTAAGCTTCCTGTGCACAGATTATTAAGGATGCTTGTTTCAGCTGTGAGATTAGACGATAGGATCAATGAAAAAATAAGTTGTCACACACTCCATGGAAACTTTCAGAGAATCCACAAATGGTGGCTTTCACATGGTTTTGTTACTTTTAAAAAGTTAAGAAAAGCAGCAGATGAGACAGCATGTCTGATAATTTAGTTTTTAATCTGATAATATTAGAACATGTCAGTAATGTCTGAGGGGCTTTTATAAACACTGTATAACTAACACTACTGGAGAGGGTATGAATTACACAGAGGCTTCTGGGGAGCCCAGTTATTGGGGGGGGGGGGCATTTTGCCTTGGCCCCCAAAATGTCTTGAAACGGCCCTGGGTGTGTGACTGAGTTTTGAAGGTGATCTGAATTGTATCAGATGTATAAATATAACATGTGTATAACTTATTGTTTTTTACAGGTAAAAACGTGTAGTGGAGATAAATCTACCTACATTTTACTTTTCAACACTTTGTTTTGTTTTCTTGTTTTTATTTAACTATTTTCCTGTCCTGTCTGTCTCTCATCTTCCTGCATCTCCTCTTAATTCTCCAGAAAATCTGTTGCCTGGATTCTTACCTTTTCACCTCATCAGTTACTTTTGAGCAGATCAAAGGGATCTCCTGACCGAAAAGCGCAGAGCGTGTTTTCGATGCTGCGTGAGGTGACATCACCACAGCACAGGTGATGAGCTCCGCAGTAGCGCGCTTCAGGCACAAATAAGACAAAATAGAGAACATGTGCGGACATGAACGATCGTGTGCTAATTATAGTTTTTTGGTTGAACCACTTTGAGAATGGACCGTGCGCTGGAAGCAGCTGCCTGGATCGCTGCACAACAATGCGGAACCGGTTCGCAGCAGCGCAAGTCTGCCGGCTCTCCCTCGCGCTGATCTGCCGGTACCGGCTCTCCCTCGCGCTGATCTGTGGGCTCTCCCTCGCGCTGATCTGCGGCTCTCCCTCGCGCTGATCGGCTCTCCCTCGCGCTGATCTGACTTGCTCTGGTCTGCGCGCAACGGCGGGCGGGAAGGGGGGGCGCTTTTGGAAGAGTTGTGCGACACAACGAATCGATGACGCAATTCGTTGCCAACGCTTTTAGTAATCGATTTTCATCGAATTTATCGATTCGTTGTTGCAGCCCTAGTCCCTAGACAGCTACTGTATTTTAAGATGGTGGATGACCATGGAGCGTCGACCATAGTTTATGTATTTAAAAACGTATAATTTCAGGTTGAGAGGAATATTTAGAATTGATGTTGGTGAGAAATATTAGTGAAAAAGGACAAGTTTGTCAACTGTAAGCACAGGATTTGATAGTAAACTGGTAAAAACATCACACTGTGGCTTTAATCATACCTTTTTTTTGTATATTAAGTTTATTTAGACAAAAAAAGTAAAAAAAAAAAAAAACTGCATTTGTTGTTATTTGAGTGAATTTGGTAGACTTTTATTTTTATTTAATAACTTAAACATTTATTGCTAAATCAAAATGCATTAGTTGTTTTTTAAACTAAAATGTGTTTTCTTCTTTTTTTTCTATTATCATTAAATGCTTATTACAATTTCTCACGAGACAACAACACATAATAGAAACATACAAGGCATCTTTAGTAACAATAAAAGAAAAACAAATAAGAAACTTAAAAAGAGGCACTTATATCACAAAGTAAAAACATTGTTACAAGATTAAACATTTTTCTGCAGCATGACAAATGGCTTTTGCAGTTGCATTTGAATTTTTTATACGAGTCAAAGTGGATAAGAACATATGGAATTCATTTGTGAAACAGTTCATGTTTGGCAGTTGTTTTTTCCATTTGCTTTTGTGGATGTGGTATTTACCCATAATAATAATAATAATGTTAATTAACAATGAATTATTCCCCTTTAATTTAGAATTGTAAATAAGAATATCTTCATTTGTAAAATGATCAAGTTCTCTTATTTTATTTCTTAACCAACAATGGACTTCTTCCCAAAACCTCTTACTTATATGCCAGCTGAAAAATAAGTGTTCTATTTCTTCAGGGCTTCCCTGACAGAATTCACAAGGGTCAACTTCAAAACCAAATCTCTTCCTCAGTGTCTCTGCTGATGGATAGTAGTTGTTGAGAATTTTAAATTGCATTTCTTTTACTTTGGGCTTTATAGGCCATTTTATAAATTGTAATTGTTTTTCTTCAATTATTGGATTTCCTTGTATTTTTATTTTAATCTTTCTATCATAATCATGATAGATATATTTTTTAAGGCTCCATTTAAATATTTATTTTCACTTTAAGGCTTTAATCATACCTGTTTCTTTAGCAAATGCACATCTTGTTTGCACTCGTCTTCCTCCCAGTGAGTGGACAGGTGATCCTCCAGATGCTCCCTGATGTAAGGAAACAAAATATCCTGGAAAAGTGACAAAGCCCGGAGTGTATTAGTTTTCAGTTGTTAGAAACAGGCAGTTTTTAGCCGTATGCAACTGTTAGCTCTTTACTTAGCATTACGGTTGGACCCACCTAATACAATAAAAACAAATGTAACTCACCTTAACGAATGTAATTGGTGTAGTGGTTCCCTCGATGTCCAACAAGATTGTTGTAGTGCGAGCAGGAATAGAAACAGTGGCCATTTCTGTAACTAGAATAAAACACAAGGATGGTGGAGGTTCTTATCTTAGCTAACGATAGCTTAGCTTAAATAGTGTGGTGTTACAGCGAGGCTCTGTTCCCACGTGCGTGTCCAGGTCGAATACCGCAAAACCGAGATTATAAATGAGCAGGAAATGGCTTTAGTTGATCTCTGCTACGTGATTATTCAAGCCATTACTTTAGCGAACACACAATGCAACAACTAACTCACATGTTCCGGTCTGACAATTCACCTCCAACTCACTAGGTGACGATACTGAGTATTTTAATAGCAAGGACTCATCATTTAAAAACATATTTTGAACAGTTTACAATTAATAATATTTTGTTTTGCATGTCAGAAAATAATTAGAATTCATTGTTACGTGTGTGCTATTTCTTTGAGGGTGTTAGCTGACTAGATAAATATTCTACGTAAAACACACACACCGTATATTTTCCATTCAATTTTTAATTTTCTCTTTACGTTCACTTGAAATTATAATCTGCCGTTCAAAGAACGTTTATTTTAACCGTGTTTAATGTGTACACTTAGATGTTGTATAGGTTACCCCGTCTGAAACTGTTCGCTGCTGTCAGCATCAGCATGGTCGTCATAGGTGTTCCTCGGCAAATATATTTGTGCGACTGCGAAGACAAAAATGTTAGGTGAAGAAAATATATAACTTAAATTATGTACTTTTTGATGAGGCGAGTCGGATGTGCGATAAAGCTGTGTGAATCTCTTTACATCTGAACCGAACACAAGGGGGCAGGGCAAAGCCAGTGGGAGAAACAGTTTTCAACGGGGTCACACATTTCGACGTAACACCGGCACGTTTGGGTGACGCTGTTCCCGGTTTGGTTTCCTAATTCATCCGTTTTTAAAACAGAGAAGAAGAATCCGGTGACGGTGATAAAAAACGACACAAAACGACGCTCTTATTATTAAAATAACATTTGGAAGATAGTTAATTATCAGTTTAAACGCTTTAAATTTCTGTTAATCAAAACCTTAGATGTTTCCGTGAAGAAGCTACACGGTTTGCGTTTGCTTCGTTTTTTTATCTGATGGTATTTGATAATAAATATTAGCTAGCCACTAGCTATCTGTAGCGCAACTTCTATTTTTTTGTGAATTTGTATTTTCTCAAAAATTCCCGGTGCCGCTTTAGTTAAAAATTAGGTGCCTGAAAAAACCAAAAGATGTCGAAGGATTATGAATTCAGCGAAGACTCGAGCCTGATGAGAATGGAGGAGGATGGAGATGCTAACAACGACGACCCGATGTCCGCTAGTGGGGACTGTGGCCTGACGATGGGAGGCGAGGCCGAAGGGTCGAGGATTGACGCCAGTAAAAACGAGGAGGACGAAGGGTATGTTACTGTTCCAGCTTCATAACGCGGTCATTTATTATTTCACTCTCAGTCAAAGCTTTTGGACTTATATGAAGGATATACAACATGGATGCTACATTTGCATAAGTACATATAGAGACAAATTCAGCAAGGAAATCGGTAAGACTTAATACATTTACACAATTATAAAGATGTTTATGTTGAGTAGTCAAAGTGAGAATAACGGGACACATTTCTTTAGCATGTTGTTGACTCTGCTGTCTCACTCCGTTTAGATATAACCATAATCAGTTGGAATGCAAGAAAATCAATGCTGTGATATTTCATGTCACTGAATCAATATTTCTCGATGTTTGTAATTCACAATTTAAATGTTAACATTTACTGTAATTATTTTGTTTGATGCAATTCAAACTCTGACTGCTAGGTAGCAGCAGTTTTACTGCCTTCATTCTGATGGAACGACAAGATCTCGAGAAAACGCTGGATGTGTCTTGAAAGCGTCTGGAGTGATTTAAAATTAAATTCAGTCTTTAAAATAGCTAATCATGTGGCTTTTAGTATTGCATTATATCGTATCATCTCCCCTTTATTGTGATATTTGTCATATTGTCAGATTCTTGCCCTAATAACATGGTTATTTGGAGGAGGGCTTAAGGAGAGACACTGCACAGTCTCCCCTTAAGACCTCAAGTTACTTTGGTGTTAGGGCTGGGGGTAAACGATTAGTTTTAAAATGATTATTCTGACGATTATTTTATCGAATAGTTGACTTTTCTAATGGCGATGAATCTAATTATTATTTGTCTATTGCACAATTAATAAAAACCAGAAAATCTCAAATAAATTCTTCAAAAAAAGTGATCAACTGGTACTGTAAGAGAATAGAAGAAGAAGAAAATATCATTTCTATAGTGCCTCTCAAGATAAAAATCACGAGGCTCTTCACAAAAACAAAAAAAAAATGTAAAAATATAAAAAAGCATTTAGAAAATGTTTTAAAATACAGGGTTTCCCTTACATAGGCGTAGCCGTGGCGGCCCGCCATGCGCTGTTTCCCGAAGAAGCAGCGGGAACTACTATGTTGTCGCTTGTGATCACAGCCGGCGGGCAGCAAGAAGAAAGGAGCAGGCAGAGCAAGGTGACGTTACAGCATAAGTTACTGAGTTTAAAATTAGAAAGGTAGCAATGGATATAATGCATTTTGGTTTACATGTTTCAATAGCAGTAAGATAAACAAGTGTTAACGATCTTGACAGGGTTTCCTCCAGTGCTTATTAGGCAAGATTTTCCTCCCCCCACCAGGCTAAGCATCACTTATTCATGTAAAATTTATTTATTTTTTCATGTCTGACTTTAACCGCATCTAATACTGTATTACGGCGTGAGCGCAACAGCGACAACTTAAGATCGATGTGTGAGCAGCCTGAGAGGTTGGGTGTTTTCATCTGAACCCTTAAAACCTCCAGCAGGCTACGCTGCACTATTGACGTGTTAGCGCGCTAACAACTTAGCAATGTGACATGTCTCGGAGAAAGCGTAAAAACACGTTGGACACTTCTTCTGAAGCGGGAAAATAACGCTTCTTCTTAAGCAGAGCACGACGTTGCCTCGGCTCTTCACGGCCGAGCCGGTACCGGACTGGGCTCGGTAACTGACCCAGCACAGCCACTGGGTCGTTGGAGCTGCCCCGTGACTGCCTGATGGAAAACCAGCGGGTTTCATCAGACTCGTAAAGTTTCTTGTTTTAGCTGGGGACCCCCTGTATTTTACCGCTCCCTCCTGCAGTCTTCCCCTTTTAACATTTAAAACGATTCTGTAAATTCATGTATCAATAGAAACAATCTCTGCCTCTGCCAGCTGCAGTAAATGTAGTTTCCAAATAATAAATAAGAGGTGCGTTCATCTGTGTATCTCCTTTGATCCGCATTAGTGATATCCTCAGCACCAGAATAGTGATGTGTCGGTCGCGAACGAACCGGCTCTAAGAGCCGGCTCTTTGAAGTGAACGACGGGAGCCGGCTCGTCATTGGGAGCCGTCCCTCCCCCCTCCCCCCCTGCCTTGGTGAAAGCTACAGGCGATTGGTCAACATGTGTAACTGTGTGTCCAGACTGTCCACACACAGAGCAGTAGGGGCGGGGAAGAGGGAGGATCAGACTCAGACAGACACACAGCAGAGCACATGCGGGTGGAGGGAGACGAGAGGGAATGAGGAGGAGGAAAAAGGCGAGCGAGAGAGAGGAGAAAATGAGCGCCAGCAGTAGGGAAGTGGAGATTTCTTAAAGTGTTCAGTTATTAAATCAATAGAAATTATAAATATTTGATATATTGCTTTTTTTACATTAGTAAATTATTTTACATATAGTTTAGTATTATTTTGGTTATAAATGTACTCTACGCAACAGAAAATCTGAGGAGCCACTTGGGAGCCAAAAGAACCGGCTCTCTAAAAAGAGCCGTATTTCCCATCACTACACCAGAACAGTGAAGCAAAGAAAGATTCCTGAGTTTGTTAGTAATTTTATTTATTAGGTGCAACTGACCTGTTCTATTGTTCTCAGAAATGAGATCAAATCAGTGCTACTATGGGTTGTCTCCAATCTGCACTGGAAAATTTACTTTATTTAGAGACGTGTCATAATTTCTCCCCAAGCCTCTATTGATACACGGAATTTACAGAATCATTTTAAATGTTAATAGGGGAAGACTGCAGGAGGGAGCGGTAAAAAGAGCCGCAATTTTCTGTTGCGTGGAGTACATAGTGAATAAACACTACAGGCCTTCCATTTTGTACAACACTGTACAACACTGCTTTTACTGGTTATGTTCTGGTGACATGTAAAACATGGAACTGCAGGCTGCTGCCTGAGAGTTGGTTGGAGACGGAGTGTCTCCATGCTGCTTTATTTTGGTCACTTATGTGCGTGAGGCGAGTGGTGTTACGACCCTTCCTGGGGAATTGGGCTCGTGTGCAAAAAGGAAGGGACAATAACACGGGATTTATAAGTTTAAATGATGATCAGGTTTATTTACAACAACAAACATAAATCTTTCCATCCACAGGTTGGGAATAATAAAACTAATTCTGCCTGTGGGGAATTAAAACAAAAGTACAAATAACTAGGAATGTCCCACTGGGCAAAGATTACTGAGTTCTGGACCAAAATAAGAATCTCCAAACTCTAAACTGGGTGGTTAAACCAAACTCAAGGTAGGGCTGGGCGATATGGCAAAAGTAGAATATCACGATTTTTTCAATATTTTATCACGATTTCGATTTTATCACGATTTTTTATCCATGAATAGCATGACTTCAATTGCGTATTAAAGAAGAGAAACATTGAATAAATAAACATTTATTCATATTAGGGATAATCAACACAGTGCTAACACACTTATATTTTAAACTCACACCAGAGATGATAAAAGCCCTGAGAGAAACAATTACAAAAATCAGTTTTTCTCGTTTTTCAAGTAACTTAACATAAATTAAAATCGTAAACATATTTAAAGTGCAAACGTGTCCATTGCAAATGTATTGTGCAAACATTAACTTGTTCAAAATACTATGTAGCTCCCAGTTGCTCATGTAGTGGATAGTTAAGCTCAAATACGGCTCTGATGTGCGGCTGGACCAGAGATCGCTTGTGGTAGCAAAAAACTGCGAATTCTGAATATTTTCTGCAACTCTCACTTTGCATTCAGCGTACATGCATGGATCCAATGTTTTTTTCATTTTCTTAAATCCCACTCCTACTGTTCGCACGGGACACAAATCTTTAACCAAGTGGTACGTCACTGCGTCGGTCACGCTGTTCCATCGTCTGCTGTCTCTGTCGTAGGGAGTGAGTTTTGTGAGTGTTTGTTAGCGTTTGCTGCCTGGAAGAAGCACTAGCTGCTGCAGCCGCAGGCTTTTTAGCTTTAGCTGCCAGCTGGCTCTCATTGTATTGTTTGGGATGCTTTTTTTTCAAGTGATTAAACAAGTTTGTGGTGTTGCCATCGCTTGCCTTGACGCTCTCCTTGCAAACTTTGCAAATTATGTTTTGCTGCTCTTTGTCATCTGGTGAAAAACCAAACCAGTTCCATATAATGGACGAGGCACCCCTCTTCGGAACGAAAACGTCATTGTCGCTCTCAGCCACGGCCGAAGCCATGTTTGTTCACACACAGGTGAAAACAAGCGGGGCACTAATATATTACTATGACTCACTCTGATTGGTTAAGGGTCAAACAAAGGCATGTCATTCACCTGGGGTAAGTTCCCTTTTCATTCAAAGGCAGAAATTCATCAGCAGAGCTGTGAATCGTGATAAAAAGGTCTCTCAAAAATGACAGACCATCAGATGTGTAGATCGTAAAACGGTCTAAAATCGTCATATTGCCCAGCCCTAACTCAAGGTGATATTTTAAACTAAACCGAAAACCCACAACACTCTAAATGTAATAAAAGGGAGATCTACACCACAAAAAAGATGAACTCTAAACCAAAATGTAACAGCTCATCCAAACGCAAGAAGCTGTTAGCGAAGATGCTAACAGTAGCTTTACCAACGTTAAGTTCAAGTTACCAAGTTTAAATAAACCAAAAATACCCAGCAGCAAACAGACCAGCACGGAGGAGAGACTGCTATCACCAAAACAGCTCTCCTAATGTCTTAAAGAAGCTCCTTTATGAAGGGAGAAATGCTCCCGGTGATTTTCTACTTTTGCAGTAGAGACAAAGCAGTGCATTTGACCCCGGAAGTTGTTGTCCGTTGCCGGGAGACGAAGGCGGGCAAAACAGGAATCTAGTAGCGAACGGACATTGTTCCGGGTCTTCTGTATTTGGCGGAGATGTTAAAGGCGGAGAAGAGGGCGAACTAGAGGAAAAACAGGCAGATTCCTCCTCTATTTACAAACTCCTGGGGATGCAACAAGTGGGCGTGGTGCGTCGACTACCGGATCTGACATCGGCAAATTTATAGAATCGAGCCATTGACGTCATCGACTCTTCGCTACAGCTCTATTTGGTGTACAAATCTGTATCTGTCGTGCTCTGTGCCTCCATTGTCGAGGCGGCTGACCACAGCTGTGGATGCAGGGTTGTCTGTGCCTGTCATGGCGGCAACCCTCGAATACACTGTTGGACACTGGCGGTTAGGGATGCTGTCAAACTGAAGAAAGAGTCCTAATGGGTGTTTTTGGCCTGTGGGACACCAGAGGCAGCTGATGAGTACTGGCAATCCCTGCGGAATGCATCTCGGGCGGTCACATAGGCAAAAACCTGGGCGTTGGAGAAGTTTGCTTAGACCATGGAGCAAAACGTCCGTACAGCTTTGAGATTCTGGTCCACCATCTGGTACCTCAGGAGGGGAAAGCAGTGGACTACCAACACTGTTTACAGTGCTGCTGACCTCGACTCGAGATGTTGTGGATAGTGGGTTGTTGTGGAGTACTTAAGGACTTCCTCAGTCCCACCGGCATGTCTTCCGGTGAGGGCGCGGAGTTAGAGGGTTGGGTTCTCCAATCTCTGGAACCAATGTCACTGAGGCAGTCAAAAAACTCCTCTGTCGCTGGTCCACTCGATTGGCAGACCGGGGTGGTGCTCTAGTTCGCTCATCTGGGAGGGGTTTGGAGTAGATCTGCTGCTCCTCCACATCGAGAGGAGCCAGTTGAGGTAGCTCGGGCGTCTGGTTATGCCTCATGGATGACTCTCTGGTAATGTTTTCAGGGCACGTCCAAATGTGAGGAGACTAGGGTTGTCACGGTATGAAAATTTAACCTCACGGTTATTGTGACCAAAATTATCACGGTTTTCGGTATTATCGCGGTATTTTTTAAACGGTGTTGCATATGTTCAGAAAGCATTGATAGTCCTGTTCTACACAAACTGAAATAGTTCTGAAAAGGTTTAACAATGTTTATTAAACCTAAAATAACACAAAGCCTTAGCAAAAGTGCAACTTTTCACAAGTAAAGGAACAAATAGCTTCTTTTTCTGGAACATGTTACAGTAGTCAGTGCAGGTTTAAATTACACAAATCTAAACATTCAAAACATAAACAATATGTAAACAAATCAAAGAAACACCACTTGTTTTCTCATATACTTGTTTTCTTCATTATCAAAATGAAAATCTAAAACTCCAGTCCACACTTGACTTGAGCACTGTACAAGTCAACCTTAAAAAATATGTATTTAAAATAAATAGCCACTTTAAACAAATTACTAAAATAACTACTACACTATGTAATCAAATCCAAATGTTCAAGTATAAATGGCATTGAATAAGTAAACAAATCAAATTGACAAGGAACTAATTGTATATTTCTCTTCATCATCAACAAATAAGATGCTTCATCCAGCAACAGGGTGTCCGTGACACGGTTTAAATGCTGGCAGAGGACGCTGCGGCTGCAGTCTATAGTGACTCGTTGCATTCTCCCTCAGCCAAAAGTCCTCACGTCATGCATTTGAGCTAAAATGCTAATGTTAACTTACCTTGCACTGGCTGTAGAGACGTGGGTGATGGTCACGCAGATGTGCCATGAGATTCGAAGTGTTGCTGCCTTTTGCAGACACTTGTTTCCTGCACGTTCTGCAAACGGGATAGCAGTCTTCTATTAACTGTCCCTCAGCATTTTTCAGAAATCCAAAATATGCCCATACTTCCGATTTAGTCTTCTTTGAGGGCTGATGGATGTCCTGGGCGCTGCCGTCTCCTCCTTCGGCCATTATTTCAGCTTCAAAGTTTTGGTGCCGTTGCAAACTAAAAAGTGCGTGTACGCGCCGCGGGAACTTCAGCTGAAGCGACGGTGGCTGGTAAGGGTCACCGCGCCGAAACCGCAGCCACGGTAAACCCACCGAGATAATTTCGTTTTTTAAAAACTGGACGGTTATTTTTATTGTCAACTTTTTTACCGGGGTTTACCGCTATACCGGTTACCGTGACAACCCTAGAGGAGACCCAAAGGGATGACCCAGGACACAGTTGGAAGAACTACATTTTCAGCTGGTCAAGGAACACCTTGGGATTCCCCTAAAGGAGCTGGCCCAAGTGGCTGGGGAGAGGGAAGGGTGGGCCTCTCTGCTTAGGCTGCTGACCCCCAGATGGCAGATGGAGGGGTGGGAAAAATGCAAGCTGCTCTTCACAGACACTGATTTTTATATTTCCTGACCCATTTGTTTCATTAATAGGAAGATGTTTGTGGGAGGCCTCAGCTGGGACACCACTAAAAAGGACCTGAAGGATTACTTCTCAAAGTTTGGGGAGGTTGTTGACTGCACATTAAAACTGGACCCCATGACTGGTCGATCAAGGGGTTTCGGCTTTGTACTTTTCAAAGAACCGGAAAGTGTTGAAAAGGTACGGTCCTTCTTTTATTTTAATGCTGCAAAACAATAAGTGTGGAGCAGGAGGTTAATCTAGAGTTTATTGAATGATACTCCTTTATTTCATGCCTCAAGCGTATTCATCAGCAGGAGGCACTCCTTCTAGAAATGAACCATTTTCCAACAGAAAGCTTCTGTGCTTCTAGATCATTTGCAACCTTTGCAATCCAAAGAACTTTTCTCCTCAGTCCACCTTAATAAAACTTGTTTAGAGCTGCAAATGTTACAGGATCCTTTTGAGAAGAAACCATTTATAATTCTTGAGTGATGTCTACAGAAGAGAATTAGGGTCACAAAAAAACGTTCTTCTTAGAATTCAGAGAGAAAAAATTGGAATTATGAGATTAAAATTGGAAATTAGAATTTTTCTGAGAGTAAAGTCAAAAATTGTATTTTGTCCTCTTTCGTAAATACCTAGCCTAGAAATGTTGACCAACCGTAGTAGAAGCAAAAGATTTTGGTCTGCAGGTCGGTCTAGTCATGCTCCATGTTGCCTCAGCAGGTCTACAGTTGGCTCGAACATTTGGCTTAATGTAAGAGCTGTAGTGGAGAAAAACTACGAAGATGGCAATGGTTTATAATCTGCGCTTGTTTTCAATGGCTTTGGCATGAACTTTGGAAAATTAGACTTGGGCTTCTCTTTGAGGCATGAGCAGATAGAGGTACAAACAGCATGTGTTTGCTTCTTATGTGTATGGCAGACTGATTTAAGTAGCGATGAATATGTTATATTGTTCGTTGCTCTTATTGGTCCTAGTACTGTCCAGTAGCATGCAGAGGCCGTTTGAAAGACAACTGTAGATCCCGCCCTATGACTGAGCTCTGTCTATGGGTCGTGGTACTACACATACATAGGTTGGGTTGCTGCCAGGATAATAAATATAATAGATTTGTTGTCATTTTTTGAAAGAAAAAATAAAACTTCAATTTATTTCATTATTAGTTTTTTAAAAATTAGATTGAGGGAAAATAAATAAAACTTATAGAGGCGTGAATCTTCACTAGTCTCATGACTCGATTAGATTCAATATCCTGATGCATAACGATTATTTCATATGGGTTTGCTTTCATTGATAAATAGAGGATGACAGATATGTGCTTTTAAAAAATCTGACACAACACACCATCCCCCAAAAGCTCTTCGTTCACAGCAGACCTTAGGACAATGTAAGAGGGTAAAACATTTATAACAAGATAAAAAATCAGTTTCCTCATTCAGTAGTCACGCCTCAGGCTGTGGGAGAAGCATGCTCTGCAGATGCAAAAAACCCAATTGGACATGTCTGTAATTTAGGTTATAAAATCCATAATGGATCCATATATTAGGTTTTAATGTCTTTGAGCTGCTTTACCCCCAAATTCCACTACCTCCGCTCCTCTCCGACACGAACGCCGGAGCAAAATCGGTCCCGTTGTAGTCAGTCAGAGCAATTCCACTACTGCGGCCGTGCTCCGGCAGTGCGGCGCCGTGCGCCGCCCTCTGTTCCGGCGTCCGGCAAAAATAGAATCGATCCTATTTTCGCCGGACGCCGGAGCATCTCCGCAGTAAATGGACAGAAATCACAACGGCCCAACAGGAAAAGGAGCAAGCACAATTTCCGTTTTTCACAATAAATCGATAAACAAAAGGCGTTTTTTGTTTCATATGCACAGGTTTAACAACTTTTAACAACTATCAATGGCGGCTGAAGTTTAAATGCACAAAAGTAAGCCATAAATACAGTTTCCACTATCAAAGTAGTCACACTTTGTGGATCCAAACACTGCTGATCTCTCAACACAAATGATGGGCAGATTAAACAGTTCATTTCGATGCTTCTCCCACACAACGGGTGTTTGGATCTAACTTCTGCGTTTATTGCTCGGACTGTATCGCAAGATCTCAAAAATCCTGCGCATGCTTGTTTGCCCCCCTCAGATCTCCGCACCGGAGCGGAGCCGTTGTAGAGCGGGTACCAGTAAAAATTGAGTTCGGAAGCGAGCGGCTGCGGAAGGCGGGGGCGGACCAGAGCGGAGCGGAGGTAGTGGAATTTGGGGGTTAGTCACATGTTTGTGCCAAGGTACAAGGGCGTAAGAAATAAATAACACCAAAGGAAATGTTTGGCTTTGTTTGTTATTTTATTTGAACCCAACGGTCTCATTTCAGAAAAGTTGGAGAGTGGATCAAATTCTGTTCAATGCAGAAAATAATAAAACATAAAAAATCCTATTTTATCACAACATCAGCAGGAGGCTGTAGGTTGAATTAGGATTAAATTACAGCCTACCCAGATGATGGACCTCCTTCACTGACCTGACCTGTGTGACCTTTATTATCTCCTCATATCCACGGTGTGTCTGTTGATGTTCGCAGCCCGAAAAACGAACCCTGACAGTTGTTTGATCAAAAGGCCAAACCATCCATAGAACTGTTGATTGACTCTACGTTTAACTGGTTTATTGTTGGCGTTCTCATGAAGGTTGCATCACAGAAGGAACATAAGCTCAACGGGAAGGTGATCGACCCCAAAAGAGCCAAAGCCATGAAGACCAAGGAGCCTGTGACGAAGATCTTTGTTGGTGGTCTGTCTCCAGATACTCATGAAGACAAAGTCAGAGAGTACTTTAGTGCTTTTGGAGAGGTGTGACACATACACACACACACACGCCTCACTTTATATTCGTTAACCTTTTGCTTGCATTTTCCATTTTAAATAAAACCCAATATATCATGAATGCATTCACTATGATTTAATCAGGTGGAGTTGATTGAACTTCCCATGGAGAACAAAACTAACAAAAGGAGAGGCTTCTGCTTCATCACATTTCTAGAGGAGGAGCCAGTGAAGAAGATTATGGAGAAGAAGTACCACAACATCGGACTCAGCCAGGTGCAATCACTTCATCCAATCAGATTTCATTATATGACTGTACCTTAATGAAGACATAATAAATTCATAATGTTTGACTTTAGTGTGAAGTAAAGGTGGCTGTGTCAAAGGAGGTGTACCAGCAGCAGCAGTACTGGGGAGGCAGAGGAGGATACTCGTCCAGGTCCAGAGGAAGAGGAGGTGAGTTAGGATGGAAAACTAAAACATTGCTCTTGCTAGTTTAACATTTATGTCTGCCTCCACCTGCTGGGTTGCTCACTGAGCAGAGAAGATTGTTTCCTTATCAAACGCACAAGAACTGTATCAGCAGAACTGTTCAGGCTGAAACATTCTAGAAAAACTTCATTAAAGATAAAAACAATCGGTAAATAACTCCATTTCAACATTTTTTTAAACTTCATGGCGGATTTTTTTTCTAAGCTTGGTCCTGAAATGTCTGAATAAAGCTGCAACTTGTCCTCACCGTTGTGTGGACATAAAGGGCATGTTTGTTGGTGAGACTGGTTCTAGATCGTGGTTCCTACTAGGGGTTGTATCAACTAGTCGACTTAGTCGTGCTTATATGTTTGAGGGTTTTTTTGCATAGTACAGCTACGCCCTGTCGGGAGTAACTCTGGTATGCCTTTTTCCCTCCCCCAACCTATCCTCATGTAATTCCTTTTCATCTAATAAGGTAGCGCGACTCGTGTTGCGAATGACCGCAGTCACCAATTCTTGTCATGTGTCTTGCCCATGTATGTCTGATCTCTGAATTGTGTACTGAAACTCAATTTCGTTTCTCTGTATGTCTTGCACATGTGGTAGAAATGACAATAAATGACTTTGACTTTGACTTATTACAACCTTCTACATCAGGGGTGTCCAGACCTTTCAAGACTACGTTGAAATTTTAAAAATACGACCAAAATAGTGGGAAAAAAACGTGTTGTTTTCCATCAACAGCCTGCCTAAAACTGATCATTCTACAGATGCATTTGGGGCTGCACTAAATCCCTCCAAGGGCCTCAAATGGCCCCTGAGCTGCTAGATGTTGAGACCTTTTTAATTTAATTACAACTGAATTCAGTAGAAAACATCAGATGGTAAAATGTGGATGCTGGAAAACGTTCTGTGTGACGTGATGACTTGTTTCCACCACAGGTCCCAGTCAGAACTGGAACCAGGGTTATGGTAACTACTGGAATCAAGGCTATGGGAATTATGGGAATTATGGCAATTACGGTTACGGCAATCAAGGATATGGAGGCTATAGTGGCTATGACTACTCTGGGTACAATAATTATTATGGATACGTGGACTACAGCAGTGAGTATCTCTGGAACACACATTTTATTTGTTGTACTTCCAAGAAGGTATCGTGGTAATAAATCTAACTTTCCTGTCATTTGCAGATCAGTCTGGCGGGTACGGCAAGTCGCCGCGGCGTGGCGCTCACACCAACAGCTTCAAGCCGTATTAAAGAGCTCAGCTTCTAGTAGGTATCCAGTAACAAACTCACACAGATTAGTCCAAACTATAAGTAGCTATATTAACTTTGGTGTTTTGTAATATTTTGTTTAATTTGCTCACGTAAATTTCTTTTTCTCAGCACCTTCATGTGCTTTACAGTAGTGGTAACATAGAGGCTATGCTCTTGTGGCCATTATTTTTAACAGCCGGCCTCCTTTTGCACCTTCTCTTGTTTTTCCTTTTTAACTGTAAAGTTAACAGGTAAAGTGCTACTACAGTAAATGGATGCCAAAGTTAAGGATGTGCAGGGAAACAGAAAAGGAAGTTTATTGTCTCCTAACTCTGACATACCTTGTTTGTACCTGCCAGCGGAGCTTCCTTGCAGGCCATGAGCTGACTCCCAGATACCCTCAGGGCCCGCTCAATGCGGACCGGGTACGAGCAGCGTACGCTCTCGAATGCTGCCATTTGGTATGGTCTTACAACATCCTGTATCAGAATTTCTAAGTATGGGACACGTGCAGCTTTGTTTTTCTTTCTTTCTATTTTTAAGCCTTTTGGGTTTGGCGACTGTTATGTAATGTAAAACTTAAACATACACATGTAATTGTCATTCTTTTTACAGGCCCTTACTCCCCCACAAGTAATGATTATACATATGAAAGAAAGAAATAACTATCTGTTTTTTAAAGGATACATACAGCTTTCTCTGGACTTTCCAGTTCTAATGTAAATAATTCACTTCTAATGGTATTTTTTATTTAACTAGTAGTCCATGAGCTTTAACCTGGTTTGGACTCTACTGCGTTGGGGGATAAAGTGCTTTAATTTGTGTAATTGTATTCTTCTGTTTTGTGTTACTGACAGCGATGGAAAAGACTCCTCTTTTTGTTAATTTTTCCTGCAACACATTTTTCTCTTATAACCGTTGATTTAAACAAAATCATACAGAAAAAGATTTAAAGTGTCACGTTTCCAGAAATTTGCATGTAATGCTTTCTTTAATGTGTATTTTTGATCAAAATGAAGTACCGTAAATCCTCTAATACAAGCCCGGGCCTGTATTTGACTCAAGCTCATCAAGCTCCAGGACTTTATTGGAAGGAGGGCCAGAAGTAGAGGCAGACCTCAATTTCTATTTGAGCAAAATGAACTAATGGTTCGCTGGAGTTTTTGACAATTAAAATTGCGCCCACATTTTCAAAGTTAAACACATTGCTTTTAACAACGGTAGTTTCTGCTTCAGCCCTCTCCCCCCTCCCCCTGCGCAGCGGCCGCAAACTCACTGATGCACCTGCAGCCTCTCAGAGTTCCTGCTGCTCTAAACATTAAAATAATTATTTCATTTTCTGTTCCTCACTTCTGATTACCTTCAATGGTGTCTGTTTGTTGCAACCAGCAGGTACAAAAACTAACTTGTTTTTATTTGACTATTTTTCTGTCCTGTCTGTTTATTATCTTCCTGCATCTCCTCTCAATCCTAAAGAAAAACTGCTACCTGCGTTCATATATATTCACCTTATGAGTTACCGCCGGCCACATCATTTAGGTGCGTCACTGAGGACAAAACAAGTGATGCACCCTGATCCACAGCAGCGAAACGCATCACGCACAAATAAAAGAATAAAAGACAGAAAACATAAAAGGAAATGAGCCAACATGAAAGATCACGTGTTAAATTAGTTTTTGAGGTGGCGACACCTAATTTGATAATGTTACTGTGGCCGTACTCAGGACGCAGATGTCTGGAGCGCGTCAATAATCAGAGCTTTGCGTGCACAAGCGGGTTAAGGTTAGGATGGGGTGAGGGGAAGGTTAAATTGCAAGAGGGTAAACGTCACAATTTGGTTAAATGTCCGTTTTACGGCGGGTGTCAGTACCGACGCTCTGGCACAGCGCGTTGCCTCCCGACGCGCAGGAGCTTGTCACCTGCTGACAGCAGGCTGCTGTCTTCCGTGGACTGCATCTTGCCGGCCATTATCACGTGACAGCGACTAGTCGATGACAGGCATAAAAAGTCACTATAGAGCGGTGAAGTCGACTAGTGACTAGTTCATACAACCCCTGCTACTGCTCCCCAGAGTGTTCTGCAGCATAATCAGCACGTTCTCTTTGAACTTGATATCATATTTTCGCCTCCTCTTCGTCTCCGCACGGTTAAAGTTACCCTCGCGGTCTATCACTGGCAAATCAAAAGTGAGACGGATGACACAACCGCCCCCCGTACTTGCTTGTTACCACATTCCACCCGGCCACAATAAGATACCGGCCATTATTCACCTCTGCTGACTCCGACCAAAGTATGATACCCAGCAGTTAATTAAATACAGGCTAATATTAGAGGATTTACGGTATTTTTTTCTCCATTTAGTATTTTGACTTGTTCAGTTTTACGCACTTCAAGACCCCTAGCTTAACTTTCTCACTTTTACAAATGCAAAATGTTAAATTAATTGTTTCTCCTGATTGTTTTTAATTATATCTGACGCTTAAAACACAGGGGATTCCTATTTTGTCCTGCTCTTTTGTACCTAGATGGCGTGCTGTTCCTTCAGAGCTGACTTGTGTCTGTTTGTTTTCCGTAGGCGTCAGAGTGGTGAGTCTGCTGTTCGCTGGTGGAGAAACTATCCAGAAAGATGATCCCGTTTTTGAAAAGCACACAAGCGTGCTCTGAGCTACAGTACGTGTGCTCCACATTTACAGAAATATTTCAGTGTTTTTGTTAGCTTAGATCGCTTCCAGCATATTCAGACTCTCCTTTTGCTTTCCGTGTATAAAGTTCTCAAAAGCTGCTTGTGAATCGCTTCATTTATTTCATTACTGAAATGTATTATTGGTTGGACAAATCACACATACATCTCTATATATATACACACAGTACTCTGGCAGCAAAAATACAAGACACCCCCCCCACCCCGATCGTCATATAAAACATGTTACTACACCGTTTGAGTCATACACATACATAATATGTACAAAGTGTACTAGATGTTGAAAATGCTTCAAATAAAAACAAAACCTGCTCACATGATTGGTGGTTCATTAACGGAGCGGTTTTACATTACATGTGGAGTGTTTGGTTTGACAGCAAACAATTTAATCTCTGTCTCCTGTGGGTTTTACCCTCTTCACAGTGATTTTTCTTGTTCATGAGTGAATGTGCACATGTCAGGATGTCCGGAGGTGAGCGCCGCACCCCCTCTGCTCTCCTGCGGTGAAAGTTTGCTATATGACTTTAGTTGCAGCGAGGATGATGAGTATCAGGATGATCGCCACAATCACGCCGATTATGATCATCATCTTTATGTTCTTCCACCAGTATTTTCGGGCTACCCGCGTGGAGGTTTTCTGGAAGGAGTCAGCCTGAAGACAAAAAGGAAAAGAAACCACTGAGTGTAGTTGGATCCTTTAAAATTGGTGTTCTGGTTCACGGGCCACATCCAAGCTAATTAGATGTCAAGTGGGCTGGGCCAAGCCAGTACAATCACAATTACCTTTAAACATCCTTGTTTTTAACATTACATTAGAAAATATTCCATGTTCAATAAAATAAAACATGAACGTGAGATTTAAGACATGTTTGAACAAATAAAGAACACAAAGGCTCCCTAGCCTGCACTCACACCCGAAGACTTGGGAACAGCATTTTTAATCATTTAGAGTTTGCATCTTTAGACATGTTTCCACTATAGGAGGACATTTCTGAGAGGGAAAACATGCTGGTTATGTCCTCATAGCTGTTGCGTCTCTAAACCAGCAAATCTGACGATTTTTTTCAATGCTGGTTGTTTGGTGTTGTCTGCTGATGTACACTGCCCAGCCAAACAAAAAGTCCCCACCTGGGTCTAACTAAGAAAACAAAAGGTAGGAGCCTCCTATTGGATAATTAATAAAGATATCCCGTTCCAATATCGATATTGGAAGTAATTCAATATCAGCCCAAAAGCAGTGCATCAGATTATATCAGATGGCATCAAAAATCTGACATAAGCGGTCCGTTAAGGTTCGCATGTTTATGTAACGTCCAGAAATGGTCAGTTTTCACCTACATATTGACCTACATGCCACCGGTCATCTGCAGACATAAATTCCATTCTCTAAGGTGGATTTTACATTCTATTTTCCAACAAGCCCAGAAGATTCTGCAGCTCTGAACACATGTTGTCAACAAACCGTTCCCGTTTCAAGGCCTAAGCTTCCCTTATCGCTCCTACAGGATTCCTCATGCCTCTGAATAAAGGGAACATTTTCAGCTCATATGAGCTAATTAATTATGAAATGAAATGAACAATATGGTTGAATGAAATGTTTTGATTAATCTGTGCCAAAGTTAATAATGTTGAAATGAATTTTAATATTACAATGAAACATTTTGATGTTATGATCAGTAATGTTTGGTTTAACAAGTGAATCATTATCTACACTCATACACAATGTTCATAAGATAAAGTAATTTCTGCACATAGATATTTTCTTACCCACAGATCAGAGCATCCTGTATCCGAAAGAAGGCGTGATGTTCTGAGGGTTGTTTGTTAACACCTCTTAACATGGCACGTCCTGATTGGCCAAGTAAATCCTAATATGAGAATATTAAAACAGAGTCACTGGGGAGTGATTCAGCATTCCAGCATTCTGTGAGATTCAGCATCCTGTTACTTGAGCTAACTCTGACTGGCCATCGGAGGGAAACTGCTCACACCGCATCTCTCGACAAGCTAAAAGCTGCCTACAGCTGACACAGCAAAACGGTTCCTTCAGCTGTTCAGAAACAGCTGCTCTAGACGCAAACTAGTTCCAACATGTGTGCCTGGCGACATCTCTGGACTGGAGCATTGGTGCTGCGGTTAATCTACTGAACCTTGGTGCCCAGAGGTCATCCGAGCTTCCTGACCTCCGGATCCGCGAAGAGGGTCTCCAAAGAAAGGGTGAGGTAGACACAGCATGATTGCATCTGAAGCCGTTTTGATAAGAACCAACTTCATAGTTTAATGTAAACCAAATTCTTTTCACGCCCAGAACTCCGTTCTAGATACAAGGTTCTGATAAACACACACCATTAAATCACCATACATCACATCCCATCCACTTAGATTCATCCATCACAGTAGTCTTAGTTAACTTGTCTTGTTTTTATTTGTTTAGAAAATAAATTTCTTATCTTTTATAAACCTGACTCTGTCTGAATTGATACGAAGTGTGTTTGATCCCTGAAAAAGCAAAGAATTCTAGAATCTTCTGATTAAACTTCCAAAGACCAAGCAGATTGATATTCTATATTTATATAGAGTATCACAGCTTATTGGTCATAAGTAAAGGTAATTTATTAAGCTTAAAAGCAAGAATATTTAACCCTACTGGAGATCTTTCCTGCCAACAGCCATTGTAATATACAACAACTCTTTGATGACTTGATTATTATTATTATTCTGAGCTACTACAGCAATCAATTTCCCTCTGGGATTAATAAAGTATTTTTGAATTGAATTGAAATTGCAACCAATGGTTAAGAAAAAAAAAAGTAATTTTTAGAAAAAAAATTGTCATTTTTTTCATACTTGCTGTTGCTGGCTCTTGTTCTAAGATTGAGTAATACAACTTGATCGAGCCTTTCATACATTACACACTACGAAATAGGTAAAAGTATGTATGATCTGTGCCGATATCGTATCAGATTGATATCGGTATCGGTCAATACTGAAGGCTGCAATATCGGAAGTGAAAAAGTTGTATTGGGACATCCCTAATAATTACTGCAGGGCAATGATCTTACAGCTGCAACAAGCTATTTAACCCCAAATGGTGCAATGAGCTACTTTTCATTAAACAACCATGTGTCTACTGTACAAGCCTGTGGGGGTAGTGTTATGATTTGGGCTTGCTGCAGTTGGTCAGGTCTAGGTTCAGCAACAGGATGTGCTCCAAGAAGGAGGTCAGCTGACTACTTGAATATACTGAATGATCAGGTTATTCCATCTTTCTTGATGGCACGGCCATGTTCCAAGATGACAATGCATCGGGCTCAGAGAGTGAAAGAGTGATTCAGAAAGCATGAGACATCATTTTCACACAAGGATCGGCCACCACATAGTCCAGACCTTAACCCCATTGAGAATCTTTGGGATGTGCTGGAGAAGGCTTTGTGCAGCAGTCAGACTCTACCTTCATCAATGCAAGATCTGGGTGAAATATTATTGCAACACTGGATGGAAACAAATCTGGTGAAGTTGCAGAAGCTTATTGAAACAACACCACAGTGAATGTGTGATGTAATCAAAGCTAAATGTGGTCCAACAAAATACTAGAGTGTGTGACTTTTTTCTTTTACTGGGTAGTGTAATTTCCCACTCAGTTACAACCAATCGGCATAACCACAAGTCCTGACTCTACCAGGCCATTTCAGAATACATACCCCAATACCGGTACTTACTCAGCTGGTCCCTGAAATGGCCTAGAAAATAGTCCTTTTGGACTGGCTCAGTGAAAAGAAAACATGCATACCATGAAGATCCAGTAAAAATACCTGGAAGTTTTGATGGTGGAAAATGGCCTATTTATTTGTTTTAAACTTCCCCCTAAGTTGACACCACGAATCACTTAGTGTTACATTCACAAACTTTACAGATTTATATCTGAGCATGCTGGCTTTGATAGTGTTTACAGTGTATATGTTCATATATATATATATATATATATATATATATATATATATATATATATATATATATATATATATATATATTGTAACTGGCTCCTCTCGCTTGTACACAGCTTGTCTATTTAATCAAAATGAATTGCTGTTTCTCCAAACTGAGGTTGTTTAAAGATCTATCTGCAAAAAGGTAATGACTATTTCTAACATGCTCACAGAAATTATTTTCAGAAGACATGAAGTCCCCCTATAAAGGCTCTATTAGGTTTAAATCTGATGACTAGTCTTTGGTGGAACAGCTGACCAAAGTACAAATTGTTAAAAGATAAAGTTATCTTGTAGTTAAGGCAATGTGAAAATAAGGTGTTTAAAAATCCTTTCAAAAAGCTGAACGACTTATCTGAATATTTTAACTCATAGATTTTCTTAATTAACAAGATAAAACTCATAAATAATTAGAAAAGCAGATAAATTTATGTGAAAATGATTTTAATGCCTCTGTGACCACCAGAGCTGCGTCTCTGGAGTCCCACAGGCCAAAAAGTCCTCATAGGACTCTTTCTTCAGATTGACAGCACCCCTAACACCAGCGGGTTCGGGGGTTGCCGCCACAACAGGCGCCGACCACCCTGTGGCCACAGCTGCGGTTAGCCGTCTCGACAATGGAATAACGTAACAGAGCCCACTCAGACTCAATGTCCCCGCTTCCCCTGGAACATTTTGGAAGTTCTGCCGGAGGTGGGAATTGAAACTTCTTCCAACAGGAGACTCTGCCAGACGTTCCCAGCAGACCCTCACAATGCGTTTAGGCCTGCCAGGTCTGACTAGCATCCTCCCCCACCATCGGAGACAACTCACCACCAGGTAGTGGTCAGTAGACAGCTCCGCCCCTCTCTTCACCTGAGTGTCCAAGACATGTGGCCGCAGGTCAGATGAGACGAAAACAAAGTTGATCATCGAACTTCAGCCCACGGTATTCTGGTGCCAAGAGCATACATGAACATATTATGTCTGAACATGGTGCTCGTTAAGGACAATCTATGATGAGCACAGATGTCCAAGTTTAGATCAGGGGGCCTTTCCTCCCAACCACACCCCTCCAGGTCTCACTGTAATTGGCCACATGAGCATTGAAGTCCCCCAGCAGAATGAGGGAGTCACCAGAAGGATCAATCTCCAGCACCCCCTCCAAGGACACCAAAAATAGTGGATAGTGTGATCTGCAGTTTGGTGCATAAGCACAAATCACAGTCAGGACCCGTGACCCCATGCATGGTCGGAGGGAGGCTACCCTCTTGTTCACCGGGGCACAAACAGGCACCGAGATGGGGGGCAACAAGTATGCCCACCCCTGCTCGGCGCCTCTCAGTGGGGGCAACTCCAGAGTGGTAGAGCCCAGGCCCTCTCAGGGAAACTGGTTCCTGAACCAGAGCCATGCACCAAGGTGAGTCAGACTAGATTTAGATAAAACTTCTCAGCCTCACACACCAACTCCTGCTCTTTCCCCACCAGAGAGGTGACATTCCACGTATCAAGACGTACCTTTTGTAGCCAAGGATCGAGCTGCCAAGGTCCCTGCATTTGGCTACCACCCAACACACAATGCACCCGACTCCTTTGGCTCCTCCCACGAGTGATGAGCCCATGGGAAACTCAAGCGTGGAAGGAGTTCAGTGAGACCATGCAATAAGACTTCCACTATCCGGCATCTCAGGAGGGGAAAGCAGTGCTCTACCAACACCGTTTACGGTGGGGATGGTGTGCTGCTGACCTCGCTTGGCTTCATCAGACCTGTCATGGTCTGCGTCTGCGTCTTCCCTCATGTGTTTCCTGATGTTCTCCATCCCTCTCTAGATTCCCCTTCTGTGTCTCATAGCGCCCTCATGTGTCCTTTGTCTGCATCTCATTTATGTGTCTTCTGTTTGTAGGCCTTCATATCATTCCTTCAGGTCCGATGTTCATTTAGTCATCCTCAGCCCCCTCCAGTTGTAGCTCCAGCCTCTTGTTCCCCAGCTCAGTATGTGTGTGTATGTGTGTGTATGTGTCAGTGTGTGTATGTGTGTGTGTGAGCCCTTCCCTCTGTCTTTAGGTTTAGGTTTATTTGCCCTCCTCTGTTTCTGTTTTCCCATTTAGATAATTATATTCACCTGTCTTCCCTCCAGCCCTCACTCCACACACCTGCTGCCATTTTCCCTAATTACCTCCCTCTGTGTTTATAAGCCTTGTTTTGTCACTCTGTGGTTGTTGGTTCATTGTCTTGGTCAGCGTTGTTTTGTCTCCAGTCTTTAGTCTCTAGTCTCAGTCCTTAGGTCTCTGCTCAGAAGGTGAGCTTTTGAATTTTGGTCTTAGTTTAGTTATTGGGTTTTTGCCTTTGCCCCTTGGATTTTTGGTTCTCCTCCTAAGGATTTTTACTTTTCAACCACTCCTGCCCGTGTGTTCTGGATTTCCTGCACCTTGGGTCCAAACCTCCTGCTCTTAGCGTGACAAGACCGTGATCTCCAGCTTTCACTGGATGTGGATATTGTACCAGTCCATCATGGTGGAGAAGAGCTGAGCCAGAAGACAAAGCTTTTGATTTACTGGTTGATCTACGTTCCTACCCTCATCTATGGTCACCAGCTTTGTCCCTTACAGTATGCTGCATAGTTCTAGAGCCCAACCCCCCCCCCCCACTTCTAAGGACAAAACTACCTCCATGTTTGTGTCGTTGCTTTTACAATAAATTGTCATTAAATATTTAAAAAGGATAAAAAAACCACTTCAGTAATTATGAGAAGGCTCGCCTTTGCAAACACGTTCAGCTGACTGGGCACACTAGTTTGCATAAAGTGACTGATGTAAAGGGTTTTCTTTGGAACTGGGTGAGCTTTTATAATCCAGGAAACAACAGAGAGTTTGGAGTTTATCCACTTCTCATGTGATCTGAAAACTAGACCCCAAAATATTCCATCCCCCTCAAAACACTGATAACAGAGATAAAAATAAAAGTGTGATGCTTCAAGTTTCACATTTCTGCAGATTGCAAGCAACCGTTTTCTTATTCACATGCCGAAATGTGTCCGATATTCACGCAACATCTGTCTTGATCTACTCACAGATGCCTGCAGGTCGTCCGTCTTGTTGATGAGGTCATCTAATCTGTCGCCCCTCTCCAGCACTTTATTGATGTTGTCTTTCAGAATGACTTTGACCTCGTTCACCTGACTCTGTACTTGGTCCATCTTAGCGGACGACGAGCCCGAGGCGGGCGGCTGAGGGTTTGGGTCAGCCTGGGGAAAATCATCACAGTTTATCACACTTGCAGTGAATAGTGAAAGTCTCACAGTCAAAGAGGAGCTCCCATTTCACTGATTCCAACAACCTAGTTTGACTTCCTGTTTCAGCCGTTACAGAGGAAGGGGAACAATCAGCTGTGGGTTGGCTTACAAGTCTCTGTTGCTGCCATAAAAACTCAAAATGGTCACCTAAAATAACCTTAAAGTGAACATTTTACATAATGTCAAGTGGGAAATAAGATCCACTTTTGGGGAAATCACCAGGACAATCAAAATGTTAACTTTAGCGTAAAGAAGGACCGGCACTTACCATGGCAGCACCAAGTCTTTTCAGCTCCAAGTCACTAAACGTAGCTTCAGTAGGCTACAGTCCAGCTAGATGAATAAACAAAAGCAAAGATCAGTGTTTCTGGTCACGCAGCAAGAGCTGAACAAATATCTACTAAAGGTTGCACCTCTACTCAGTTACTCATTAACCTCCACGTTGCCTCAATCAAAGTCTCAATGGATTTACAGGAGCTGTTTACATCACAGAGAACAAGATATTCTCTCCTCAGTCTAGTTAGTGCTGAACTTTCTTTTCCTGCTTTTTAGATACCAAGCAGCCAACAACACAACTCATACAAAGACTTTTTTAGAAAGAAGACAAAAGTACACGTCTTTCAGTTAAAACTGGTAAAAACATGTCTAATAGTTCCATTCGTGTGTTTTCACATACCATGAGCTGTCAGAGAGGATCCAGGCCAGGGCTCGCCCGATGCGTCTGGGCAAAGGGCTCTGTGTTTTCAGCACAGATAGAAATTTGCAAGGCAATAAAGAGGTGAAGTCACACGCTTGCCTCACTCCATTTCCTCATCCTGTTGCTGCTTGTTAGTTCAGCAGTACGGCAACCAGAGAAAGGCACCAACTCAGTCTCGTTCAGTTCAGCTGTGTTGTTGATATTTAATTATTCAAGTTTGTATTTTATCTTTGATTGAGTGTAATGTGGAATAAAAGTGACATTATAGTGACTGTTTAGTTTATAATGTAAAAGTTATTCTGGAAGGTTTTTAGAGCTCTAAGAGGCACAAAAATGTAACACAGTTGCTATTTTTGGACAATTCTTTGTAATTTACATATTTGTTGTTTTTTTTATCATTATTTCTTTTATGTTTAGCTCTTTTAAAAATGTGATGTTTATATTTTTACTACTGACGTTTCTGGGTTGCTCATGCATCTTATTAGTGTTTTAGCATCTTAATCTGAAACTAAGGGTTTTACTGTCTCTTTGGGGTTGTTTTAGCTTTTTTTTCTGTCGTTAGTTTATTCATTTATGTTACCTCCTGCTATCATGTGGAAATAGTGAATCAGGTGAATATATTTTGCCCGTATCATTGTGTGTGCATGTTTGCAACATATATAATTGGTTTTCCTCCGACTATCCAGGTGGCAGGTTCACATTACCAGCAGATATCCCCAAACTGTCCTCTTCCCGTTAACCTCCAGCTCCACCAGTGGGACCACCAGGTGTTGCCTGGAGATATAATCTCTGTCATCTCTCCAGTGTGTCCTGGGTCGACCTGGGAGGCATTCTGACCAAATGCCTCAAACCACAGACAAATATACGTAGACGCCCCGTGGGCTATAATGCTGCCTATTGGAGCTGCCGCGTAGTGGCCAGCCACCATCTTGGATGGGTCTCCATTCCCACACAGTGCATTTATTACTACTAAGGAAAGTGCTTACACAACTAAAAAACACATTTATGACTTTTTTACAGAATCAGAATATGATATGGCATGTTAGTTTAAATGTAATTACATCAAAAAAATTTAAATTAAATATAAAATCCCAACAGGTAGGCTAGAAACGTCCCACGTGATCTGTTTCAACAGTGTGCCAACTGTTGCAACCCCAGGTTGTACAAAAAACGGGCATTGTTGCTCACCCTGCGTTGATTCCATTTGGGTTTGGAGAGTGAGGAGACCCTTCCAATATGGCGGTGATGCTATGTTTTCATGTCTATGCCTTAAACCACCTCAGCTGTGTCCTCTGGATGTAAAAGAGCAGTGGCCCAAAGATGAGTCCCTCCTTAATGTCCAACCTCCTAACCCTATGCCTAAGGCTGCGCCCAGCCTTCCTACAATTTGCAACCGTGCTCAGTCACCACCGAAAGCCCTCGACTGTAGCCAAGTAGATAGGAACAATGATTGTTCTGTAAACTGAGAGTTTGTGAGCTCTCACTACTTAATAGTTTGAAACTAATTTTCGTTTTTCTTCAACTTTTGGAATCCACCCAGCTCAAGATGGTCACTACAACTAATCGACATTAGCAGATGAAAAATGGTCTGAACTCAAACACTGAGCTAAACTTTGATTTGCTGTAGCTCCATCACATACTCGTGGCCCATTGTAATGTTGGTGGGTGACAGTTTTACTCTCCTTTGGTCCATATTTAATTCATTTGTGCAAGAACTAGAACCCGTTTTCTTTAAAAAAAAATTTGTATCTTCGTTTATTTCATTCAAAACCAAAATAAAACATATAAACAATAAGACATACATAACAAAAAATCAAATTTGAACGAAAAGGAGGGGAATGAAGAAAAGCATCTTATAATTTCTGCCCCCTTTTCCAGTAGAAATAATCAATTTATATATAATTTCCATTTGTCAGACACACATCCAGATTCACTTTAAACCTTTTCCTGTTCTAAATTCCAGTGCGATCATGATCAGTGATTTAATTAACGTCGTCATCTTCCTCCGCTTATCCGGGTCCGGGTCGCGGGGGCAGCATCCCAACTAGGGAGCTCCAGACCGTCCTCTCCCCAGCCACCTCCACCAACTCCTCCGGCAGGACCCCAAGGCGTTCCCGGACCAGATTGGAGATGTAACCTCTCCAACGTGTCCTGGGTCGACCCGAGGGCCTCCTGCCAGCAGGACATGCCCGAAACACCTCCCCAGGGAGGCGTCCAGGAGGCATCCTGACCAGATGCCCAAACCACCTCAACTGACTCCTTTCGATCTGGAGGCGCAGCGGTTCTACTCCGAGTCCCTCCCGAATGTCCGAGCTCCTCACCCTATCTCTAAGGCTGAGCCCGGCCACCCTACGGAGGAAACTCATTTCTGCCACTTGTATTCGCGATCTCGTTCTTTCGGTCGTTACCCAAAGCTCATGACCATAGGTGAGGATTGGGACGTAGATCGACCGGTAAATCGAGAGCCTGGCTTTCTGGCTCAGCTCCCTCTTCACCACTACAGATCGGCTCAGTGTCCGCATCACTGCAGACGCTGAACCAACCTGCCTGTCGATCTCCCGATCCCTCCTACCCTCACTCGTGAACAAGACCCAGAGATACTTAAACTCCTCCACTTGAGGTAGGACCTCTCTCCCGACCCGGAGGTGGCAAGCCACCCTTTTCCGGTCGAGAACCATGGTCTCAGATTTGGAGGTGCTGATTTAATTTACATTTTCATAATTATTTAGTTCACTCAATTTGGTACATTTTTTGAATATATTAAATGACAGAGTTTTTTAAATTTCCCTTTTAAGGTTATTCCATAATTTAACACCATTTACAGATATATTCCATTCAATTTTAGTTCTAAATCTTGGTTTTGTAAACACATCAGTTTCTTTCAGCATGTAATTACTAGTTCTCTTTTCAAATATCCCCTGAATGTTTGTTGGCAGAGTACCTAAATTGGCTTTATACATGTGTAGCATGTATAACTTTTAAGCAGTTATTTTCAATAAACTAAAATACATGAATTGTAACTTCTGAAACCACGTCTCTGTCTGAATTAAGTGGAATGAATCTACATGCTTTAATTCCTTGGGTGAAATTCCCAAGGTGGCGTTGTTAATGAAATTGCACTCGAGCAGATACAATTGCCATCCTTGGCGTCCACAGGCCAGAGACCACTCCCGTATTGCCACACATGGTTTGTAAGATTTTCCAGTCTTTAAAATCATGACATTTCAGTAGTTTATTTTTAATAAACAACGGGTTCAATGGATCTCTACAGCCACTATAATTGATGATTCTCAGAGTAAAAAAAAACAAAATATCTTTAACATGACTAACTTCCTGTGAGGGTGGACGTGAAGCAGGAAGTCATGTTGAAGATGTCTTTTTTAGGTGATAGGCAGAATTAAATGTGAACAACATTCTGAACTGGGCTTTTGTTCCTCTTATCTGGTTTTTCTTCCTCACATGTGTTGCAAAACAACGTGTGAGATTTGTGTCACTTTAAATCATCAGAGTTGCACAGGGAAGTTTGAAAAAGAGAGGTAGAGCAGAGAAAGAGGAACAACTGTCACGTGTGACGAGATGGAAGCAGAAATGTTTCACGTCACTAATTCCCATCACATCTAATCCATTAGATCCTGAACACACACCTGGACGTGTGGCATCTTCCTAGTAAAGAGGATTTGAGTCACACACACTGGGAAGGTGCTGCTCATTGGCAGATGATTACACAATTGTGCACACGAAGGCAAACAAAAAGACTTAAAACAAATGGCTTACATTTCTGGTCTTTAGTTCTCTGCACACGGGGCGTAGAATTAGGGTATTGCAACATAAATCAAGTATAAAAACATAATCATACAAGAAAAGTCATTACAATTCTTCTACAAGTTGATCACTAAGTTAGTCCCAAAAAGTTGGAATTGGAGCACCACTATATGGGCAACAGAAGTCTTATTGACTTTTAAATTGACAATATTGAGCCTAAAATATCACACGGAGGAAAAACAAGTATAGCAAAAGTAAAAATATAGTCGTAACAGCTGATGAGGCTTGTTGTTAAATAGCTTATTACCAATGTTTGCATCCTTGTGTGCTGCCATGTGGGCCTCAGCCGCCTCTGTAAAAACTCCAAACATAAAAAAAAAATCCATTCGTTTTCTATCCATGTGTTTTTAATGATGTGCCTAAAACAAGCTGTTGCCAAAAGTCCCTGTTTGTGACATCGCAAATGGGAAAATTAGCATAAATTCACCTCTCACTTGCAAGAGAGAGAGTCGCTGCTGGAGCAGCACCGGCTCTATTCCAAGCCCTTCCCAGATGTTGACCCTTTGCACCGACGTCACCTAATCACGTGGGTCCTCCATGCTGGACGGCAAAAGCATGTAAATAGTGAGCGACACGAGTACTAAACAAAGGGAAATGTAGAGCCTGAAATTGTTTTTGTGATCAAAACAAAAACAAAACTCCTCCAGCATTACTTCAACTAGTTCATGCCCAGTTCAGTTATCAGAAGAAGTCGCGCATCTAGCCGGGGCTCATGGAGAGATGTTAACTAGCTTACCAACGTTAGCTTACGTTCTCTCTGCAGCTGTTCACCGATGTAAACATGTTGCTGACTTTGCCTGAATTCACCCCGCTGGATTTATAACTTTATGTTATAAACAGCGTTTCACTTTACACCAAAACTGATTGTTAAAAAGTCCGGATCCCTACCAGCTTCTGTTGCTGGTGGTGTTACCGGGTTCAGCTGCTGCTCTCACACCGGAATGAGAAGATCTCTGAATGCCGACACTCATATAAATAAATAACGTAATTTTAACACACGTAATCATACATCAGAGCTTTACTATTGTTAATAATTGTCTCACTTTACACTACAGTGGACGGAGCGCAGCCTCCGTGGTGAAATACCCATCCATCAGGATTATCACTAACTAGTATAAACACATCACATTTATCCCTGTCCCTGTCTTCCTCATGAAATAAATGAACGTTAATCTTACCTGGTAAAAACATGTTCATTGCTAATCTGAGGGCTGCTAGTCCGCTTGATTGATTGATCGCTGCAGTTCATCTCCGTCCTCAGTCTCCATCAAAGTTATTAAAAAGAAAAAACGAGTTGAGCTTACGTCCTTGTCTTAGTGCAGCCAACCACACAGCAAGCTAAAAACATTTTACTGTCAAATCAACTAAACAAAAGCCATAAAAGGTTACAAACTGGCTTGTTTTGACTAGCTTCACTGGAGTTTCAACGGGTGTAAACGGTCTTTTTGCCATCCATCATGGCGAAGGGGGCGGTCACATGAGTGGCGTGACGTCACGTACAGAGGGTCAATATAGGCTCCTCAAAAGCCAATCCTGGCCAGCTCCACCTTGTTTCTTTAAAGTGACAGAGCCCTGAAACGGCTCATTCTGGAAGGTACTGAAACTGTCAAGAATTGAACTACTGAAATCGCTTTATGCGATTTTGGGCAAAAAATGTATAAACATGTTTTGTGTCAACCATAACTATTATAACTTAAGAGTCATGTCACCTGTAAGACATTTTGTGAAATATTTTGGAACAACTTTTCCAAAGACACAATACACATACAGAAGCACCAGTTTAGGAATCTCGGGCAACTGGTTAGGATGCCTACACAACGACTACCTGGTGAGGTTTTCCCAACACGTCCAACTGGGAGGAGACCCAGGACACGCTGGAGGGACCACGTTTCTTGTGTGATCTGGGAACACCTTGGAATTCCTCTGGAGGAGCTGGCCCAAGTGGCTTGGGATACGGCTGCCCCTGCAACCCTACCCCGGGTAAGTGGAGGACAATAAATGGATGGATTTTATTTATTGTTTGTAACAGATCTCTTTTGAAAGACTGCTGTAAAGTCACTGACAATGCAATTTGCCGAGTTTTCTAGAACACTTGACTAAGTTGAACAATGAACTCAACTCAATGCACTGATAAGTAGGTTAAATTGGAATGTGTACTTTGTACCTTGAGACCACTGTTGTTGTGATTTAGTGCTATTAGGGCTGCGTAATAAATCAAAAATGTATCGTTCTCGAAATTTGACTTGTTGAGTTTTCCCCATGTCAATAAATTTGATAATTTAAAAAAAACGTGTAGGTTGGCAACATTCTTATCCCTTTAAGAAGCTGTACCACCTTGAGTCACGTAAAAATGTGATTTAAAATAATACGTGAGACAGCTCCATCTAGTGGACAGCTTTTGTTTCTGTACATACCTGTAGTTATCGTCCATTTATCGTTATCGAGGTGAAATCCTCAATATATCGTGATATTAATTTTAGGCCATATCGCCCAGCCCTAGATACTGTATAAAATAACTGAATTGAATTTTAAAAACAATATTTTATTTCTCAATGATATTTATCCAGTATAAATCAAACATTTTAAAAAAGTTGTGATGTTTCATCTTTTGTTTATTGGAAATGAGGAAAATAATTCAAAACTGTGCTTTACCAGCAATGTGAAATTCTACACTGAAGAAAAAGATTCATCATTCACTGACTGAAGCTACTATAATGAGCTGCAAAATCACTTGAGGCAACACAGATCCTGAGAAATAAAAAAGTGTATGGATAATATACATTATACAAGTCAAACCTAATATAATAGCAGACCATTGAACTAAAACGTAATTTAAAAAACTAACAACCAACCAAGATACAACAAGCAAAACAGCAAAAAAGTAAACTTTGCCCCAAATACGTCTTCTGCCCCCTGGTGGAGGATCTGGAGGAGGCCAGAGTTTGTGTTTGTTAGATGATCTGCTTTAACCAAACAGCATGAAAAAACACATTATCTGCTTTCAGCTGAACATGTAAAGTCACAATAAATATTTTACAAACTGGTATAAAAACATTAGCATCACCCCCTCTTCCTGCCTCTTTTTTTTCCTCTCGTAGAAATCGGATTTGAAATATTTACATTCGCCAATCCACCTTCAGATTTTAATGTAAATTCACGATGGTTAAGTTTCTGAGCTGCCATCACAAATCTTTAACGAGAAAACGTGAGTAAACAAAAATAATGAGCTGCATGGTAGGCCATGAACATTTCTACATGTATTCCTTTGCTCTTGTGTTCTTCCTGACATTGTAGTTGTGCATGATATTTCTTTGCAGAAACATATGGGCAGACAGGGTGAGCCTGTTTAGGAAATAGTTGTTTTTTCTCATGTCTGCAAAGAGCTGCTCTGCACACTGGCTATTCAATGTTTCTGCAAGTTCAGGAACTATTTCAATGTGCCTTAATATGTCACTGTTTTGTTTGTTGTTGCTTTGGTGGAAATTGTCACTCAAGCAGTAGTGCTCAGCGGAGCCCGTTACAGGATGCCCTCCAACGTCTTCTGGTTGTTTTCTGCGCTTTAACCAGGGTAAGTTCACTTTAAGATTGTGCTCAGCAGCTTGTCTGATGTTTTCTGCTGTGTGATCAAGCAGCGTGCCTTCATGGATGGCAAACGGTGTATCCTGAGGGCAGCGCTCGTTTATGTGGCTTACTAGTCCGCTGGCGTTGTCATACACAGTGATGTTTGGAAAAATCTTCCAGGATAGAAGCAGATCTGCAAAGTCACTTGGTCTCTCAGCTCTCAGGTTGAACTTTAGTGAATATACCACTCCACAGGGACAAGTGATGACAGCCCACCCACCTGGAACGACAGTGTATTCAGATATTTACTTCTGACCGCTCCCAGTTGTGGATTACATTTAACTGTGTTATGGAAAAATTTGTTTAATTCTTGATCACTGACTCAATCAACTGAATGTTTGAAATGTATTGCGCTATGCCTCTTTGATCATGCTTACTCATTCAGACACACCCACACCCACCCACACACATTACTGACTTCCCACACACAATCTCTCTCTCTCACACTTCCATCTCTCTATAAATAAACTCTGTGACCAGATATACGGGGCATTTTGCCTCGTGCATTTTGCCACAGTTATAACTGTTTGACTTGTCTGCTCATTGTCTCTTTCTCTCTTCACTATAGGAAATGGGCTATTGATAAACATATTGATAAAATCCATGACAAACTGAAAACATTTAGTGGTTTGTTTTGTAATGAAAATATGTCTCAGCTCTACTGAGCTCTGGAGGTGGAAACATAAGAAAAAAAAAAGTCCCAACTTTATCTGGTAAATCTCGACTTTAGTCGCGAAATCCTAACGTTAGTCGCGAAATCCCAACTTTAGTCGCAAAATCCCAACTTTAGTCGCGAAACCCCAACTTTAGTCACAAAAACCCAACTTTAGTGGCGAAACCCCAACTTTAGTCGCGAAACCCCAACTTTAGTCACAAAACTCCAACTTTAGTCGCGAAATCCCAACTTTAGTCGCGAAACCCCAACTTTAGTTGCGAAACCCCAACTTTGGTCAAGAAACCCCAACTTTGGTCAAGAAACCCCAACTTTAGTCGCGAAACCCCAACATTAGTCGCGAAACCCCAACTTTAGTCGCGAAACCCCAACTTTGGTCAAGAAACCCCAACTTTGGTCAAGAAACCCCAACTTTAGTCGCGAAACCCCAACATTAGTCGCGAAACCCCAACTTTAGTCGCGAAACCCCAACTTTAGTCACGAAACCCCAACATTAGTCGCGAAACCCCAACTTTAGTCGCGAAACCCCAACTTTAGTCAAGAAACTCCAACTTTAGTCAAGAAACTCCAATTTTAGTCACAAAATTCCAACTTTAGTCGCGAAACCCCAACTTTAGTCGCGAAACCCCAACTTTAGTCGCGAAATCCCAACTTTAGTCGCAAAATCCCAACTTTAGTCGCGAAACCCCAACATTAGTTGTGAAACCCCAACAATAGTTGTGAAACCCCAACATTAGTCGTGAAATCCCAACTTTAATTGCAAAATCCCCATTGTGTTTTGTAAAATCCAGTTTGTTTCATAGAATCACTACTTTGTTTAGCAAAATTCTGCCGTTGCATTGTGAAAGCAAGACTATATTTATTGAAAATTTGACTTTGCTTTGCGAGAACCCGACTTTACTGTGTAAGAGCCTGACTTTGTTTCGCACAATCTCAACTTTTTTTGTGAAATCTTGACTGTACTGTTGCCAAATCCAGATTTTGTTTAGTAAAATCCCAACTTTGCTCTGCGGGATCAGAGATAATTTTTCTTTTTTCCTTGGGAGGTTCTACTTCTCTCAGCCATCCTGAATGGATCAAGGGAGGTTTTCACAAAATCTTCTCACAATGAACAAGTCATTTATTCTTATGTTGAATTTCACACATTACTGCATTTCTGGACAGCTTCACAGGCTTCTCCGTTGAGCCGTCTGCAAGGCTGAGAGAAGGATTTTTTCCGTTTCTGTCAGTGCGCCCCAGGGTAGCTGTGGGCCTGTGGTTACATCGTAGCTCATCCGCACCAGGGAGTGAATGTGTGTGTGAATGACTGATTGTGTTGTAAAGCACCTTGGGGGTTCCAGAAGGCATTACATCAAATACAGACCATTTACCATTAATCTTGGATATCGCAGAAGTTGGGATCTGAAAACTTTTTCTTCCTACGTTCCCTGCCTGAATCAATACTGCTCAGACTTTAGCTAAACTTTCATGTTTACTAGTTTTGTCCAGTATAACTTGCTGTCAGCCACTCACCAGAGGCACCCCTGAGTTTTTTAAATACTTGGTTGTAGATTGCTGAAGAATCCATCTCATCCCGCAGACGACGCACAAGGTCCAACTTTGAACCTCTGCCGTCAATGCCACATTTCTTGCACAGTTTCTTGATCTCAGATAGCTTGCAAATAACACAAAAGCATAGATTAACGTGGAAACTTTCTTTTAACTTGATCAAAGATTGACACAAGTCTGTATGTGAAATACCTTTAAATTGAGAACTTCATCTGCAAGCTGTTCTTTTGTCAGATACTGGTCCACGCCATCGCTCAAATCAGGCATGCAGACTTTCTCGCTCTCTGTGTTTAACAGAATGTCGGAGTGTCTTGTCTGCGGTCCAATCCAGGGGGACCAGTTGTGGTAAGTAGGTTCCACAACAAAAGGATTCCTGCAGCCGGCTGAAACAACAGAGACACGTCGTTTTTTTCTTACAGGCATTATCTCCACAGCGTGGGACACTTAGGGCATTTCATTTTTGTTTTCAGGCTGTTTACACGGACTTACGTGGATAAAGTCCATGGCTAATTACTTCCATGGTCACGGCTTCCCAAAAGGAGTGTGCATTCACTTCTCCATTGTAGTTCTGCGGTGGATTTGGTATTTCACTGACTTTAGAAATATAGGAAAAATACAGTATTTCATATTATGTGGAATGTTCGTTTCTGATAACAGATTAGGCATCAGTACAGGTTTAGATGATGAATATTTACCTGGTAGGCTGAAAACACCTTCATTATGGACGCCCATGACTACTACAGCTGGGTGATACCCACATGAATCACACGCATACAGGTAGTCATGGTCAGTTAGACCCTCAAATGATAAATATGCCTGCAGGATCCGATCCTTGTTAGGAAAACTTTCCCTCTCCGTAAGTTCGATTATTTCAATGATACGGCCGACAGAGGTGTGCGTCTACAGAAATGTGAGAAAACAATTATGGGATAGTTTACTCCTTTTTCACACTAGCAAATCTCAAAATCACATACATCTGAAACTTGTCAGTCACCATTTCTTATAACTCACTAAACACAAACGTGACATTTAACACTCTGCATTAAAAACAAGAACTAACCTGCAGCGCATTCCTCAACAAAAGGCACAAATGTATCGACAGTAGCAAGTGGTCATCAAAATTGTGGACACCATCTTGCCAGTCTTGGTAGCGATACACCATGTCACAGTTCAGGCAAGTCTTCCTGTACGTTGATATACCTAAAAGGATTAAACAAACCTTACCTTAAAGAGCTAAAGCTACAATTAATCAGTAGAAATGTTATTAAACTGTAAAAAATGACAAACCTGTAACTAAACCAGATAAAGTCAGGATTTTTGCTGTTGCAGATATTAGCTGGGGTTCACCAAGCGCGTGCTGTCCACACTCCGTGCATGCGTCCTCTGATGGAATCAGATGTTTGGGGAACCCGCTGAGGGCCTTGGCATCTCTGCTGCTGGTGACCAGTGTTTCAGGAAGCTGAGCAGGGATTTTCTTGTGTGAAATCAAATATTTGATCATCCTTTCAGCTGCTTCATCAGTGATTGATCCAATGTCCTCAGCTTCATCACACGTAAAGTCTTCCTTTGGAATTTTTGCGGTTTCAAACATTTTGGGCATTTTCTCAAATAGATGCCACTTTGCTGTAGCCTTGTGTGTACAGGAAAACTTCCCATCTATGCAGGGGCAATGCCAGGTGCTTGTCTTGCTGTCATGGGTAACTATCACCCTGCCACTAACAAATGTTGTTTTTGGTTCAAAGACTGACACGTGAAATGTAGTTTCTGTTCCACCGACAGTAAGGAGGACAGACAAAGGTGCATCATTTTTGGTTGCTTCCTGCAGTTTCTTTAAAAGATCCTCTTTTCGCTGCTGACTGAACAGGAAGTTCTCAACCAGAACATCGAGGCTAGACTCAGAAAGACATCCTTCTAACTCGGTGGCACAGGGGCAAAATGGTAGCGACTGGATATGTTCACACTCAAAACGCTGGATCCCAATCCGATTGGCAAACTGAGCATTCGCATTACACCTGTCAAGCTCGCATTCTAACCTGTGACCCAGTGACGAGGTATATTTTATAACATGCACAGGCTCCGGTGGACCATTAAAGGATTTCTCAACAGCAAACACACCTCTTTTGGCATCCACACACTGGCTCTTTAAATGATGGTAGCTGGCGACTGGATCTGCATTCTCCTGGTGTTTTCTTTTCAAATGAAGTCGAGCATTCTTTTTCTTTAAGCGCAGATTGCAGATTTCACATGTAATTATATCCTTGGACCTTGAGCTTGCCTTTTTCATCTGGACAGGTGATTGAGCCTCTGTGGCAGCCAGGCTGTTGGTTGCTGCTGGCTGGTGAGGTAGCTGTGCTGCTGTGGCTGCCTGCACAAGCAGCAGTGTTTCTGCTTCTGTCTGGATGGGTAACTGTGCAACTTTGGCTGCCTGGCTGTTGGTTGCAGCTGCCTGCACAGGTAACGGTGTTAGGGTCGCTGTCTGGAAAAATTGCTGTGCAGCTATTGCTGCCTGGTTGTTGATTTCTGCTGCCTGGATAATTAGCCATGCTGTGGAGGCTGTCTGGTTCATGGTTGTTGGTGGCTGGACAGGCAGCTCTGCTGATACACAGCTGGACGGCAAGTTGATAGTCATTGTGTGACTCACCAAATGACTTACAAACCGGTCTCTTCTTGCGAAGGTTAATGAACAATATGGGCAATGAAAGTGAGGTTTCCTGGCACACGGCAGACAACATTTGAAGATACAGAATTCTGAAACAACCAAAACAAAGAAATAGGATCAGCAACTACACATTAAAAAAATGATTGACCTATTTATGCCAGAAACAATGAATTTACTCTCAAAATGTGACAAACCATCAATGAGTTTTATAGCATCAAACACACATGCTAAAGGTTACTGTATAGCAGGAGAAAAGCAAAAAGGGGGAGAAAATAGAGAAAACAGCTTCCTTACAGCCCCAAAGTGTCCCAACTCTTGTAATTTTTAAATTAAAAAAAGTTTGACAGCCAAAACATGTATAGAAATAATAAATTTCTTCTTCATACATTCTCCTGCAATGCCCTGGTCCTGTAGAATGAGCCCTGGCATTTTTACTGTGACTGCCTGTTTTTCTGTAAAATCACAGAAAAGGAGAGCTGCTCGGGTCGAGCAGGCTGCTTCATGCACGTTCACGCTCAGGCGTAGCCCTCCGAACCGTTCTTTGAACGTTGTTTCAGCTGCCATCAAGGATATAAATGTTACAGATACTATGAATGTGACTGGTGTGTAGCTTATCTTGTAAGATGTCTGACTCTCATGCAGAAGACCTGGGTTCGATTCTGGATGTGAATATAGTTTATTTAGTTTCTTTTTTTACATTAATGGTAAATTTTTTACAGTAAGATGCCCAAATTTTTATTTGAGACTCGCCGAACGGCATTGAATTCACAGATAAAAAAAGATGTGGGTTCAACTTTCATTTTGGAACAATTTTTCAAGCAAGGGAAGGGAATGATCTGAGCATGCAGGAGGACTGACCCATCTTAAACCTTTGTTGGCTGTGCTGAAGAGAAAGGTACAGAACCAAATTATTTAATTAATTAGCTGCATGTTCTCCTGTCATCTGCCCTCCGGGCCACACACACACACACACACACACACACACACACACACACACACACACACACACACACACACACAAGGGACTGTCTCAGCTGTTATTTTCGTTAAGGAGTGTGCACGTACAGCATGCGCACCTCGTGCACGAGCCTACTATTGAAGCTGCCGTTACGCTTTTGGCCTGAGAGGGCAATCGCGAGCATAAAAATTCAAAACTCCGTAAAGTCCCTTTAATGTTCGTGCTATTCATGCTGCTGGAAAGCACACTGAATTATGTTGGTGTTTAAAATGTGCGATACAATGTGCCTTGCCTTATTTTGAGAAAGCTAGCAAACTTTCCCCAAACTCTCATGTGTTAATAAAATTTAGATTCAACAAAAGGGTTAAAATTTAAAAAGAAATGTCAAGAAAATGAAGTTTAGTTTTACAAACCATTATGAAGAACCATAGCCGTATTTGCAATATGCATCTCCACCTTGTACGACTCCTCGGCAGCGTAAGAGCAAAGGGGACATCTGTATTTGTCATCCTTGCTGCAGGGTTTTAAACTCTCTCCTCTCTGGGCATTACAAATGGACATGTGTAACTGTAAAATGAAAACAAACAGTAAAGTCAAAACTTTCTTTCAGAAGAAAAGATGTCCATATAAAACAAATGTAAAAAACAAACTAACAAAATAAATAAAACATGACACCACCCAAATAGTTCCCGAGCGCAGCCAAAGCTGCAGCTCACCGGTGTGTGATGACTATGAGACTTAAGTTTTAAAAGAAATACACATATATCCATCACGGAGCATACAAACAGCTGGTTCAGAGTTTAGAGAAGCTTGACATCCCGTCAGAGCTTCAACTATATAGTTATTTGACGGTCAAACGGTTTTACATGTAGCTCGTCAAAGAAGCCTGGAAATTAGGGATGTTCCTCATGAAACACATTTGAGCTGCAGATGTCGATCTTGGGAATCTTAGGATTCTAAAAGTGTCATAAGAAGCCACATGTCCCGATAAATTTGCCAACATCCCCTTATTCCTCTGTTATAAGCGTGTTTATCTACCTGTCGTTTTTATCTAATTCACGTGATGAAACAGTTAGCTAGTAACTTCCAATGCTATGCGCAAACTTTAGCCTCGCCAGCCTATAACTCAATGCTAGTGACTTGGTTCGTGTGAATCAAGGTAAATTTCCATGTAGACAATCAGTTTGATAACGTAAAATACCTTTTGTTGACTCTGTGTGTTTTCCATTTCCCATAGTTTCAATCGACGACTTTTTTCTTCTACAGCGTTTGCAAGTGAGCATAGGAATAGCGCCCCCTTCAGTTCCGGGGTGCAACGACCCGAATTTCATTTATTTTTTCAGTAGCAGTTCTTTCAAAAATAAAACAGAGTTCGTGGGGTCTCAAATACTGAAAAACAAGATGCCTTATAAATTAGAAACAAAATGTAGTCAAAATAACTAATTTTTTTATTGATCACATCTTGATGACCGACTTCTGCTGTTGCTAAACGATTTCTCTGTTTTTCACTAATCTCTCCCACTAGGCAATGGGCGGAGCTTACCTCAGAAAACCGGTTTGACTTCGTGTTTACGTCAGTGGTCACACGATTGGCGATGGCCAAAGCCTCAAGATGATGGCTGCTTCTTCAACAAGGTAAGCCTGATTTCTTTTACACTTTCACTTGTTTTTAAAAATAGGTGCTTATTTCAGCTCGTTATAATCATGGCATTTCAGTTATTGTTTTCTCCAGAAAAATACGTATTTCGTTATAAACTTAGAAAACCAAAAGTGAACAGATGTTTTTGTACTTTGTTGCTGCTACTAACATAACTGTGCACTAGTGTTTTTATTGACATGTCTTTGGATGGCAGTCAGTCAAGAACAGATGTTTATTTATTTATTTAGTTAGTTAGTTAGTTATAATAGTAAAAAAAGATCAGCGTCACAAAAGCGCCCTATTTCAAATGGTTTAGGAAGGCGTGCTCGACATTCAAAACTACTGCTTATCAGAATTCATTGATTATAATTTAACATAATGCACTTTTGTAGGTGGTTCTTCTGCGTCAGAGGATTGTCTAAGTGTGCGGCCCCCTACATAGCCTACTTCCTGCTCTAGTTGAAGTTTGTCAGATAGCAGCTTTGGAAACAGCTTTTTTACTCTTATTTTGGAATGAAAACCAATGTTTTTCCTCATTCCTGGGAAGAATAACTTTCACTCAGCTCTTAATATGAAACATGTCTTCTGTCACCAGAAACAACAACAACATATAGATAGAATAACATCCTGACCAACTTCCTGATTCTATTTGTGAAAGGAGCCATCATGAATCATGAATGTGTAATTCCCCTGCAGGGCTCCAGGATGATGAAACTCTGCCTCCTGACCTGCCAGTAAGTCTGTTTTATTGTTAGCCTCTTGAACACCCACATGTCACACGTGGTTGTTCAGAAAGTAAAAACAGAACAGCAAATAAACAAGTTTTAATGGTACACATTGGTTAAAACAACAATCTAGCACACTGTGTTTGTCAGAAAATCACACCTTCAAGTACTCAGGGAGAAACTCCACTCCTAATTATGTCTGAACTATGAAAGAAGTATATACAGAAAAAGTCAAATTAATTCAATGTGATTTTTTATGAAATGGCAAAAAAGCTGCAGATTCAAACACTGACAAGAATTGAACACAGAAATGAACAACAAAAAAACCCTCAGTGGACCTAAAATGCACAGTAACTCAGAAATTGTTGTTTTTAGGTAAGAGAAGGAAATTTTAAAGCGTTTTTAGAGCAAAATGACTTACAAACTTATTTATAAGAAAGAACAGTTAAACTTTGTAGGCCAAATAGTCCGAACCAAATTTATGAAGTTTACATATTTTACCACTAGAGGTCACCAGAATACCATTATTAACACGCTATTAACATGTTATTAACGTGTTTTCAAATCTTACAGAAAAGATTGATTTTGTGCTTTTCTGAAGACGCTTTTGATCTAATGAGTGTTGTTAGTGATATACTTCTGCTGTTTTACAGAATGTTGAACTCAAGAAGAGTTGCTGTGAGTCTACCTGAATTTACTTAAACAGCTTCGTTTAAAGAACATGTAAGTGAACAAAACGATTTAAAACTGAAAAATCCTTAGAATTTTTAAAAAGGCTTTAAAATGATAAAGATGCTGTCAGATTAATCTGTAGCTGTTTTGATTGATTGTAAAATGTGTTATTATTATTAATAATATTTTGTTTACTGGTTTTAATTCTTTATCTTGTGTGCATGGGTGAATATGTACCCGTTTGTCCTGGCCAGGATGCTCTTGCAAAGGAGATTTTAATCTCAACGAGACTTTTTCCTGGTTAAATAAAGGTTATAATAATGTTGCTTTCTGATGAGGCTTGATTATAAAACTACACAAATGTTCTAATATCTTGTTAAAATGCTTAAAAAATTGTTATTTTAGAAACAATGTATTAAAGAAGTGAACATTTACTATAGAATTATCCTGTTTATGTATATAATTCAAAAACCATTATTTGAATATTGTATTTTGGTTACTTATTAACAATTAAAGCCAATGTAAGATTGGGGAATTTGCACAGTTCAAAGTTATGTCTTTATTCCTGCGGTCTTTAGTTAAGTTTAATTTATGTCAGAAATTAAATAAATTGTCTGTTCAGGATTTCAATTCAATTTAATTAAATACTATTTTGACCCCAGAGGGAAATTAAATGCTGTTGTAACTCAGATTATTCAAAAGCAGTAATAATAAGAAAATAATAATAATAAAATAAATAAATAAATAAAACAAAAAATAATAATAATAAAATGCTAACTTAATATCAACTCATATGTGTTTTATTATATTAAGTTTAAAAATGTATATTAAATTGTAGTAATTATAGTAATCTTATTTTTATTATAATAATTGTTTAATCCTGACTCTGTGAGAATAACTTTTCTAGTGGCTGCCACAGTCAGACTTCTCTAAAGGCTGCAGGAAAAACATAATAATTGTTGATATTCAGCCACCAAGTAATCACCACCCTACCCTGCATGATATAAATGATTATGCTCTGAAGTCATCTTCTTGTTTCCAGGATCCTTCTTTCTCAGCCAGAACCGGACTCTAACCTCCAGCCTGAACCCAGATGTTGGTCCTGCATGAGCAACCATTCAAAGTCAGAACCTCTTCTGTTTAAAGGAGGACTCTTCACGTCTGAGGAGAGGTAATCTGGCTCAGTCAGACTAAATTTAACACCATTAAACACTTAATCAGGTGAAAAACCAAAGTGCTGTTTGGCTTTTTAATTGGTTTTAATAAAATTGATCTAACTGCTTCTGGTGCTCCTGAGTTTCTAAAATTAGTTGTTTCCTCATTTATTTAGCATATCTAATAAATTAAGCAAAGAAAAACGCTTAATTTGATGATTTACATTTCAGAACGTTCAAAGGTCAAACAGCACCTCCTGCTGGTCACAAACAAACTCTGCAACCTGAGTCTGAAATTCAAAATCTACAAAATATTTTTTATCAATCAAGCTGATTCCGTTTTTAAGTTCTGGACTTTACCACAACACATTATAAAAGAAACAAGTTAGATGCAGTTAAAGTGCAGACCAAACATTTTATTTCTGTGGGTAAAACAAATTTTTTTTTAAAGGGACTATAAGGAAGTTTGACAGTCAAAACATGTATAGAAATAATACATTTCTTCTTCATACATTCTCCTGCAATGCCCTGGTCCTGTAGAATGAGCCCTGGCATTTTTACTGTGATTGCCTGTTTTTCTGTAAAATCACAGAAAAAGAGAGCTGCTCGGGTCGAGCAGGCTGCTTCATGTGCGTTCACGCTCAGGCATCGCCCGTAGCATTTGCTATCCGTAGCTTTAGCAGCAGAGAGAGAGGCAGTGCCACTATGTCGCTGTTCCTAACGCTAAGTGATGAACCTAGCTACATTTCTGAGGACCCTTAGCTACTTTCTGTAGAACTTTCTTCTAGATATTTCCTGCAAATTAGCAACAAAATAGCCATTTTCACTCCGAACCATTCTTTGGATTGACTTTGTTTCAGGTGTCATCAAGGATATAAATGTTACAGATACATTGAATGTTACTAGTGTGTAGCTCACCTTGTAAAATATCTGATTTGCATGCAGAAGACCTGGGTTTGATTCTGGGTGTAAAAATTTTAGAGTTTATTTTTTACATTAATAATATATTTTTTACATTAATGGTATATTTTTTTAACAGTAAGATGCCCAAATTTTTATTTGAGACTTGCCGAACGGCATTTAATTCACAGATAAAAAAGATGTGGGTTCAACTTTCATTTTGGAACAAATTTTTCAAGCAAGGGAAGGGAATGATCTGAGCATGCAGGAGGACTGACCCATCTTAAACCTTTGTCAGCTGTGCTGAAGAGAAAGGTACAGAACCAAATTATTTAATTAATTAGCTGCGCATTCTCCTGTCCTCTGTCCTCCGGGCCACACACACACACACACACACACGCACGCACACACACACACACACACACACACACACACACACACACACACACACACACACACACACACACACACACCCCACACGCACAAATAAGGGACCGTCTCAGCTGTTATTTTCGTTAAGGAGTGTGCACGTACAGCATGTGCGCCTCGTGCACGAGCCTCCTATTGAAGCTGCCGTTACACTTTTGGCCAGAGGGGGCAATCGCGAGCATAAAAATTCAAAAGTCCGAAAAGTCCCTTTAAAAATGAGTGTAACTAAAATCATTTTTACAACACAATCCCCTCCTCCCAGGGCTTGAAAGTAGTAGAACAACTTAAATGTTCAGTTCTTAGTGAAAAACCCTTTTACAGTCAATGTCTTCCTGGACTCTTGTCTTCCTTTTTAAAAGACCTTTTTACTGCAGCAACTTTCATTTCTTGTTTTTGAGGGACTTTCTGTCAGTCGTATAGTCTTTTAGGAAGTGCCATCCATGCTCGGTGGGTTTAGGATGAGGTGGTTTTAATGAAATCCTGGGTTTCTTTTGCAGTGCTTTGGGTCATGGTCCATATGGACCCAGGTTTGGCTGGATTTGAACAGACATGATATCAAAGCAAAGTGAAAAGCACTGAAAGACCTAAAATTCATTTCCAGGCAGAACTTTCAAAAATTGTGCTTCATCTGGGTTAATATTAAATATGTCACATAAAGAACGTGAAAGTAACAACTGTTCCTGTCTGTCTACCATAGGTGGGATTCCTTCGGTTTTCATTCTGACTTTGAACCTGAACCCAGCGGTTTGTCCTTAAAGAGCAGTCAGTCAAAGGCTGAACCTCTTCAGTTTAAGGAGAAGGGATGGCATTCAAATCTGGATCAGAGGTGAGCTGTTAAAATCCATTCAAGTATTCCTGAGCAGAAAGAATTGTAGTCGTTTTCTGGCCTTTAGCTGCTAACTGGTAGTTTCTTGTTGTACCCAACCACCATGTCAAAGTACTTCCACGCAGAAACCTCCATGGACAAATGCATTGGCTCTTTATTATCGTGTCCATTTCAAAATCCTGGATGTGACTCAGAAGTCCACAAGGACAGTCATCAGTCTATCCCAATGGGGTTTTGCATCCTTCCATCAGGTCCTTGAGGTTCTTTGGCCAATACCTGCTGATAGTCCTCCATATGAGTCATCTCTTCTGTGGCTCCAGGACTCTTTGCCACTAACTTTGACTTCCTCTCTGATTTGTCTCACAGTGTGAACTAGGTCTTCTTATCTGTTTCCAGACCCGATCAGCAGAGCGCAGAGGTTCTCAGGGATCAGTCAGCCCAGCAGCATCAAGCTCAGCTGGAGTCCATTTTCATGGTCTGTACATGCAGACATCTGTTAGAGTAAAAACGTCTCTTGTTTCTGGAAGATGTTTCACTTCATCTATTCTAACATTGAATTGTTTATCAATCCAACGTGGATTTAATGTTTTTGGCTCTGTGATTTCGGCCTGATTTTCTCCTTTTTGTCACGTTTGGTTACAGGAGATGGAAAAGAACATTGTCATTTTTGTGAAGCGTGAGCTGAAAAACATCCAGAGGGTTCTGAGTCCAAAGTTCCCAGAATGCATGGAGGAACAGGAATTCTTAAAGGATGAGGATGAAGAGTGGAGAAGCAGCAGAGAAGCTCTTTTGAAGATTGCAGTTGACTTTCTCATGAGGATGAAGCAATGGGAGCTGGCTGACCGCCTGCAGAGCAGTGAGAGCATGATTAAAAAACCCACTGGATTTGTTTTTTAGGCCTAGTCCACATGTAGCCAGGTTTTTTTTAAACGAATATCCGCCCCTCCAAAAACTTGCATCCACACCACCTCGTTTTAAAAAAAACTGTCCACACGTACCCGGATAAATACGTTGTTAAGGACATGCCAGACCTGTAGGCGGCAGTACTTCCCCCGTTCTTAACCTCGTCCTTCGTCTGTGGTCTTCCGCAAGGAGCAGTAATTCCTCTTGCAAAAACAAACAAGCAAAAAGCGCTTGGACAATTGATAAAGCGAGCGCAGCTCTGAGGGCATCCATGCTGTCGGCTAGTGTAATCACAGGTCGCACACGTGATGTCAGCATTTTTTTGTCATGGAAAGTGACGTTGCGGACCTTAAAACTCCGGTTTTGTCTGTCCACACGCAGACACCCAAAACGGAGAAAACGCAGATCTTCACTTTGGCCGGAGTTTTTAAAAAGATCCATTTTCGTGTGGATGACAGGCCAAAATGTAGAAAAATATCTACGTTTTGGCAGATCCCCGGCTACATGTGGACAGGGCCTTAAAGTCTCATGAGACAAATGTACATAATAGACTGGTTATGTGACTTTGGAGAGAGGTCAGGAATTTGACTCCATGTGTTAACCCTTCCACTGTCCTAATGGGGGCGACCCCGTGAGGAAAGTTGGCCATTGAGCAGGATTGATGGTTTATCCCTTGGGTCCATGTGACAAGGGTGAGCACCACCTCACCCCTGTCACATGGACCTCAAGGGATAAACCATCAACCCTGCTCAATGGCCAACTTTCCTCATGGGGTCACCCATAAAGACAGTGGGAGGGTTAAAAGAAACTATTTGACAATGTCCTCCATTAGCATATCCCCACACAAACCAAGAACATCCTGGGATGGGCCTTTCTTCCTTCTCTGAAATCCCAAACTCTTTGCCAGAAACTAAATTTGAAAATTCATCTTCATGACCTCGCTGAGTTCCCCCCACACCTAAGATTTGGCGTCTGTCGCCACTAAAAGACGTAAAAGTCTTCTGGGTACAACTAAAACTAAAGAACTCCTACTTTGGTTAGATGGCTTCTATCCTGTTGTGGAACAGTTGGTAGTGCTTTTTCCTTCTGGTGAGAAGGTCGCTGGTTTGAATCCCACCTGTGCTGCTTTTCTGTATGGACCATGTGTGGAGTGGAGTCACAGACGTGCGTTGATGAAGACGTTTTCACTGACATCTCCATCACTTGGGGAGTGTTGCAGTTCCCTGCCAGGACAACAGAGGGCGGAGCACTTTTCGGGGGTATCCTACCACCATTACAGTCATGTACCCGGTCCGACAGTTCTCTGATGTTGCGTTTACGGGCCAGTACTAAGCAGTACTGAAAAATGAGCGGCAACCCAAACTAGTGGAAACATCTTAGAGCCACACCAAACCAATTATGAAGCATCCACATCTGGCTCGGGCCAGCCTAACTCTGGTGGGGTAATTGTGTTCACATCCGGGTAATCTCTGTGCTCAGCCAACCGTTTTTTTGGACCTGCTCTACAGTGGTCAACTTCATGCTCAGCCAATCCAACACACCCACTATGGACTGTTTGGGCGGCTGATGTAAACGCTTGCCTACTAGAGGGAGTCTCTGATTGGCAGGCAGAATCAGCCAGCGGCGGTTTCCCACAAGCACGATTCAGTATCAGTCTGGATGCAGTGGGGTAAACATCTCTGACTGCTGCTCTCCAGACAGAGAGGAGCCCATAGCAGTCTCAATGAGACAGGAAACGGTGTGCTTCATGTCAGAGTCTCCCATAGCAACACTGTTCATGGCCGCCTTTGTTTACTAATTTAAAAGGGACACTATGGACGTCCCCGCTTGTCCATTGCTGCACCCTTGTGTTCAGAGACATCTGCGTTCCTGAGAAGTTGTGTGAACAAAACCTGACTGCATGGGGGTGGGCAGATCCAACCAGAACTGGACCGGACCAGGCTGATCCAGATTTGAATGCCTCATTAGGAGACCCGCGACATGGCCCACTCAGATTCCATGTTCCATGTGCTCACCAGCACTAGGGGTTGTATCAACTAGTCGACTAGTTGACTTCACTGCTCTGTAGTGACTTTTTATGCCTGTCATAGACTAGTCGCTGTCACGTGATAATGACCGACAAGATGCAGTCCTCGGAAAAGACAGCAGGTGACGAGCCCCTGCGCGTCGGGAGGCGACGCGCTGTGCCAGAGCATCGGTATCTGACGCCCGCCGTAAAACGGACCATTTGACCAAATTGTGACCTTTACCCTCTTGCAATTTAACCTTCCCCTCACCCCCATCCTAACCTTAACCAGCTCAAAGCTCTGATCGTTGACGCGCTCCAGACATCTGCATCCTGAGCACGGCCACAGTAACATTATCAAATCAGGTGTCGCCACCTCAAAAACTAATTTAACACGCGATCGTTCATGTCGGCTCATTTCCTTTTATGTTTTCTGTCTTTTATTTGTGCCTGATGCGTTTCGCTGCTGTGGAGCGGGGCGCTTCACTTGTTTCGTTCTCCGGTGATTTTACCTCACTGGTGCGGCCGGTGCGCACTCCGCTGTTTTTGCGGTCGGTAGATCTTTTAGAACTGCAGTTCGAAGGTAACTCATAAGGTGAATATATATGAACCCCGGTAGCAGTTTATCTTTAGGATTGAGAGGAGATGCAGGAAGATAATAAACAGGCAGGACAGAAAAATTGTTAAATAAAAACAAGTTAGTTTTTGTACCTGGTGGTTGCAACAAACAGACACCATTGAAGGTAATCAGAAGTGAGGAACAGAAAATGAAATAATTATTTTAATGTTTAGAGCAGCAGGAACTCTGAGAGGCTGCAGGCGCATCAGTGAGTTTGAGGCCGCTGCGCAGGGGGAGGGGGGAGAGGGCTGAAGCAGAAACTACCGTTGTTAAAAGAAATGTGTTTAAATTTGAAAATGCGCCTCTCCCGAATGTCCGAGCTCCTCACCCTATCTCTAAGGCAGAGACCGGCCACCCTATGGAGGAAACTCATTTCGGCCGCTTGTATCCGCGATCTCGTTCTTTCGGTCATTACCCAAAGCTCATGACCATAGGTGAGGATTGGGACGTAGATCGACCGGTAAATCGAGAGCCTGGCTTTCTGGCTCAGCTCCCTCTTCACCACGACAGATCGGCTCAGCATCCGCATCACTGCAGATGCTGAACCAATCCGCCTGTCGATCTCCCGATCCCTCCTACCCTCACTCGTGAATAAGACCCCGAGATACTTAAACTCCTCCACTTGAGGTAGGACCTCTCCCCCGACCCGGAATTGGCAAGCCACCCTTTTCCTGTATCTCAAGTGTAAATTACAAGCCTTAACTATTTATTTTCCTTTCTTAGAATCTCCTTCCATGTGTCAACAAAATCTCAAATGTAATCTAAAGAAGAAGTTCCAGTGTGTTTTTGAGGGGATCGCGAAAGCTGGAAGCCCAACCCTTCTGAATCAGATCTACACAGAGCTCTACATGACAGAGGGAGGGACTGGAGAGGTCAACGGTGAGCATGAGGTCAGACAGATTGAAAAAGCGTCCAGGAAGCTGGACAGACCAGAATTCACCATAAAAAATGAGGACATCTTTAAACTCCCACCTGGAAGGGATGAACCAATCAGAACAGTGATGACAAAGGGTGTGGCTGGCATCGGGAAAACTGTCCTAACACAGAAGTTCACTCTGAAATGGGCTGAAGGCAAAGCCAACCAGAACATCCAGTTCATGTTTCCAATAACGTTCAGAGAACTGAATGTGATGAGAGAGAGGAAGCTCAGCTTGGTGGAGCTTATTCATCACTTCTTTACTGAAACCAAAGAAATCCACAGGTTTGAAGAGTTCCAGGTTGTGTTCATCTTTGATGGTCTGGATGAGTGTCGACTTCTTCTGGACTTCCACAACAATGACATCCTGACTGATGCCACGGAGTCCACCTCGGTGGATGTTCTGCTGACAAACCTCATCAGGGGGAACCTGCTCCCCTCTGCCTGCCTCTGGATAACCACAAGACCTGCAGCAGCCAACCAGATCCCTTCTGAGTGTGTTAGCTTGGTGACAGAGGTCAGAGGGTTCCTCGATGAGCAGAAGGAGGAGTACTTCAGGAAGAGATTCAGAGATGAGGAGCAGGCCAGCAGGATCGTCTCCCACATCAAGACATCCCGAAGCCTCCACATCATGTGTCACATCCCAGTCTTCTGCTGGATCACTGCTACAGTTCTGGAGGACGTGATGAAAACCAGAGAGAGAGGAGAACTACCCAGAACCCTCTCTGAGATGTACATCCACTTCCTTGTGGTTCAGACCAAAGTGAAGAAGGTCAAGTATGATGGAAGAGCTGAGGCAGATCCACATTGGAGTCCAGAGACCAGGAAGATGATTGAATCTCTGGGAAAACTGGCTTTTGAGCAGCTGCAGAGAGGAAACCTGATCTTCTATGAATCAGACCTGACAGAGTGCGGCATCGATATCAAAGCAGCCTCCGTGTACTCAGGAGTGTTTACTCAGATCTTCAGAGAAGAGAGAGGAGGATTGTACCAGGAAAGGGTATTCTGCTTCATCCACCTCAGTGTTCAGGAGTTCTTGGCTGCTCTTTATGTTCATCTGACCTACAATGATTATGGTATCAATCTGTTCAAGCAGCAACAAATGACCCTTAAGAATTACGAAACAGGAAAAGAAGATCCAGCAAGGGAACATTTCTACCAAACAGCAGTTGAAAGGGCCCTGCAGAGTCCTAATGGACACCTGGACCTGTTCCTCCGCTTCCTCCTGGGTCTTTCACTGGAGTCCAGTCAAACTCTCCTGCATGGCCTGCCAGCACAGGCAGGAATTAGGCTGCAGAGCAACCAGGAAATAGCCCAGTACATTAAGAAGAAAATCAGTGAGAACCAGCCTGTAGAGAAAAGCATCAATCTGCTCCATTGTCTGAATGAACTGAAGGATTGTTCTCTGGAGGAGGAGATCAGAAAGTTCCTCAGATCAGGAAGTCTTTCTACGAATAACTTATCTCCTGCCCAATGGTCCGTGTTAGTCTTCATCTTACTGTCATCAGAAAAAGATCTGGCTGTGTTTGACCTGAAGAAGTACTCGGCTTCAGAGGATGCTCTTATGAGGCTGCTACCAGTCATCAAAGCCTCTAAGAAAGCTCTGTAAGTAATTGAATACCATTGGTTTTACTAGTTCTAGATGCTTAGACGTAGTCTGTTGCTGTTTATGTAAGCGTGATATTCTCGCGATCTAATGATTTGAACACAAGGACTAAGCCAACACACAGAATGGTGTTAAGTGTGAGGTAGATCAGGCTTTAATAAGGGCTGGAGAGTATGTTCATGTTCAGCCTGGAGTACAATCTCAGAATGACTGATTCTAATCAGAAATAATCATTTTAAATAGTTTTCAGTGAAGTACCGCTTTAAAGGTGGAATATGGAACATTTTAATCAAAAGCTACAGTTCAAACAATAATACCTCCATGGGGCTAGAGGTGTGCAGAATGAATGTACAGTTTTTCCTTTAAAAGCTTAATTTAAAAAATAATCAATTTTTTATTTTGTCAGGCGCGACACGTGGTTTATGTTTACATCTACCAGCCACTAGAGGGCACCGTTGCCCTAAAAAGTCCGCTTGGCAAGGCGAGGCTGGGACTGTGTAAAATGGTAGACTTGGCAAGTCAAGCAGCTGATTCTGAGCCCAGAAGATGTTCTAACAGTAAATACTGTTGTAAAATAAACACATTAGTAGAAATTAGTGCTTACCCTGTACTATCTGTCTCTGGACATGGTGCTGGCTGGTCACTTAACTCATTCACTGCCAGCCAATTCCTGATCAGAAAAGCCCTTTGCTGCCAGCGTTTTTGCACCGTTTTTATTGTATTTTAAGAGTGACAGAACGTTCTGCGCTAGGATGATGTTGACGCCAAAACAACCAAAACAAAGCGGAGACTCACCTCTTAAATCAGGAAGAATCTGCGCCTTTTGAACGTTATCTGTTCTTTCATAATCCGTTGTTGAATTGTGATCGGCAGAAGCTTTTCTGGTTTGCGCCTCACCTTTTTTACAGCAGCGGCCCAAAACGATCTCCTAACACGTGGATGTTCTGCTTCCTGATCTCGTGACGTGTGACGTACACGGGTGAAGATCGGCTTTAGAGCTGGGATGTTTGCTCTCATGGTGTGGGGGCTCGTTCCGACGCCCACACAGTAAAAAAACGAATGGTTGGATTTAAAATGACGGCTTTTGTCGTCAATGGCAGTTAATGAGTTAATGTGTCAGCAGTGGAAAATGTTTTCTGTTGTTGCAGCTACCACCACTAAACACCAGATGTCGCCAGAGTGTCCATGTTCCGTATTCAACATTTAAAGCCGTAGAAACCACGATTGATAAAAATGACGGTTTAACACGACTTGACTTGGTTCACAGCTCAGTTTGAAAGTCTAGACTTTGAATTGACTAGACCACTTGACTGAGTCTTGCTGCGTCTGGCCTGCTGTGTATGAAGTAATGATCCAGCACTTGAATTATGACTGCAGGGAGCTTATATTACTAGCCTGGCCTGCCAGACTCGTCCTCTGTTTAATTCTACACAGAGAAATAATAAGGAAGCATGGGGTTGGCTGGCCAGGCTATTATATTATGGCTAACACAGTCAAGCAATTCCAGGTGAGCGTAGCTGATTGTTTAGGTCAGTATTGAGAGATCAGGCAAGCAGACCAGGATGTGGAATCATGACAGATTTATTTCTTCCCAGACTGAGTGGCTGTAACCTGTCTGCTAAAAGCTGTGAAGCTCTGTCATCGGTCCTCTGCTCACAGTCCTCTAGTCTAAGAGAGCTGGACTTGAGTAACAACGACCTGGGGGATCCAGGAGTGAAGCAACTCTCTGCTGGACTGAAAAATCCTCACTGTAAACTGGAATCTCTTAGGTGAGGAGAATTTGCTGTGTCCCAATTATTTGTTTAATCCAAAATGGTCCTGGTTGTTTCTCAGAATCTCATTTGTTTTTTTGTCAAAGTATGCCTTAATTAAATCCCCTCAGGGCATGAGGAGAGCGGCCGCTGCGTGACTTAAAAGTGGCATTCAATGACCAGAAGAAACATGATTTTTTACAGTGCTCTGTGAGACCACAAAGTGCTGTAAATTTATGCATTGTAGGTGGATTTCCTCCACATTTATCGGTGCTGGGAGTTTAGAAATGCAATATTTAAAGTGACAATGTGTAGTTTTTACCATTATTCTCTGGAAATATCCATTGGGAAATATCCATTGAAATGTTGTAAATGAATTAAGATACAAAGTTGTTGAAAAATATTGGCAGTTTCATAACATTAAACAATAAAAATCGGGTCTAAAATATATGGGAGTGGGTCTAAGGGTGTTTCTCAATAACAGGAACCTTGTCTTGATGTTTTGGCCCCACCCCGGTATCCTAGGAGACACGTCATCGGGAGTCGCCAAGACGTGTTCCAGTGTTCATGTTCTACCGAGGCGTGTGTTCTCCGTTTGTTAGCCGTATAGCTAGCTGAGCGAGGATACACGGGAGGTGTCTTGTAGCCTAGCCTTGGTGAAAAATTACCCAGAATACACCGCAGTATTTTCTAAAGGATGGTGGATCAGAAGCCGGCAGCTACTTCAGGGGAAATTTTTTCAAGTTTAAAAGTAAGTCAACTAATTTAAAATGTTTTTTTTTTAGATCCACAGAAGTTTTCTATGGTTGGTTAGTTGCTTATTAGTTGCAGCTTATGTGGCTAACGGGTAGTAACTCAATTAAATATTTAATTTAACAAATACGTATGTATATGTATTTTAAAAGTAAAAGGCTCGTTACATATTTATATTGAAACTGATATGTATAAAATATAACATTAGCTCCCGTGTCACGTGACGTTACGTGACCGCCATGGAAGCCACGGTCATGTGATGCAAGTCTGTTCCATTTAATCATTTTCTTTGACCATGGAAGGACAATGTCCTCGTAAGCAAGGCGCCTGGCCTCGCAAGACATCGCCTCGCAAGGCTAGGCGCCTTGGCATTGAGAAACACCTTAAGTCTCTGGGCAACTCCATATTAGATGCCATATTTCCTTCTATGGAAGCCCGTGAGGACAGAATGCATTTACTGATTTGTAACAAATGGTTATAAAACTTTCAGCATTGATAAACGTTCTTTACACATTTACCTCTTCAATCGTTGCAAGTGATGAAAGGGAATCTCTTGTTATTTTGCTGGAGGATGCACTCCCAGGGATTTTTGACCCTAATGGCCATCTGTTGCTAAGGTCTTACTTGAACACAAAAATAATGCTTGCTTGCAACGATTTAGGTATCTACCTTCCCCTATCTCCAGGGAAACACACACTGTCACTTCAAAGCTGTGTCAACACTGCAAATTTTCTTTTCCGTCCATTCTGCTTCACCATCAACTCTCCCAAATTTACAAACACCGGTTGTTTTGGAGATGTCTGCTGATGTCATTTCCTACTGAGTTACAACCAATCACCATGAGTTAACATCAAGTCTGGCCCAGCTATTCTACCGGAGCTTTCAGAGTACCCATTTCAGGTACTTCGTTATTTCTCAAAGTGGCCCGGAAAATGGTCCTTTTGGGCAGGCCTGGTGAAATAGAAATGCAGAAGCAAGCCTAATGGCCATCTCTCAGTGCCCCCCAACACTAAATGGAAACCTTAAAGCAGGACAAGGGTTTGGAGCATCCATAAAAGAACGTCAGAGTCTTGTAGGTGGAGCATGGGGATTAAGTTGCAGAGTTGTCTCCCTATCCCCAACATGGGATACATGTGCATTGAAGCAACATATTTAGGCTGCATCCTCAACAGGTGTGTTGGAGTAGGGGGACCTTCCAAAGATGCAAGACCTAGCCTAATCCCCAACCAGGATACCCACAACACAACCTTTCGTAAGATCTGCAGGAGACTCAGCCAGTCCAAACCCTGCACCAAATCACGTTATTAATTCATGCTGAAAATAGACATCATTTGAAAGTCTCAGTTTATGACAATTAAACATTTATGCATTGCCAATCCAAGTAAAAGTATCCTGTAACTCTGTTTTATGTGTCTGTAGTCTTTCAGGCTGTCTGATCACAGAAGCAGGCGGTGCTTCTCTGGCTTCAGCGCTGAGCTCCAACCCCTCCCATCTGAGAGAGCTGGACCTGAGCTACAACCATCTAGGAGAGTCAGGAAGGAAGCAGCTGTCTGATGGTTTGGAGAATCCTCACTGGAGACTCAATGTTCTCAGGTCAGCACTAGGGATAGGCAGATATAAAGCAGATTTTAAGTCGGGCACATCTACAGGCAGCCCAGTGCTTCTGCAGAAAATAATATTTACTTTAAAGAGCATGTCACCCCCAAACTTTATTTTTCTGATAAACTGTATAAATGCATGTCTAATCGTGCTGCAGACACATGTAGTCAAAAGTTTTGCACTTTAGTGCATTTTAGTTAAAATTTTAATTTTCTGCCTAAAACTGTCAGCGTTGTGCCGTTGTCAGGTAAAAATTCTGCAGTGCATTTGAATTTAAATCTGCCATCGCTGTTGGCTAAGAGGTACCCTAGAACGTTAGCTGGTACCTTATGATGCCACAATGTCGTTGTGAGCCTGTGTGCATTTGATAGCGGCTCCGTCCGCTTGGTCTGCTAGGCAACAGCATTTGTTGCATTTTTCAAACAGGAAGTGGGATTTGAATAAGACTCTGTTAGGGAGTGACTTGCTCTTTAAGAAGGAAAAACTGACTTATCAGTTAAGGTTGCAAAATACCAAATTCTACCAAATATGGAACAACTGGATTTTATTCATTACCCCCACCAGAGCAGACGTTACTTGATTTCACTCTTACTTTTGATCCCACATGTGCACTGTCTGTTTAAAATAGTTTTATTTTTTATAATGGCATTGGCACCCCCTAGCTCGTGTGTTCTGCTCCATACCAAATGTGTCTTTTAATGATGCCGCATCCTTCCTGGAAAGCATTGTCGTCTTCCTCCGCTTATCCGGGTCGCGGGGGCAGCATCCCAACTTGGGAGCTCTAGACGTCCTCTCCCCGGCCACCTCCACCAGCTCCTCCAGCAGGAACCCAAGGCGTTCCCGGACCAGATTGGAGATGTAACCTCTCCAACATGTCCTGGGTCAACCCGGGGGCCTCCTGCCGGCAGGACATGCCCGAGACGCCTCCCCAGGGAGGCGTCCAGGAGGCATCCTGACCAGATGCCCAAACCACCTCAACTGACTCCTTTCGATCCGGAGGAGCAGCGGTTCTACTCGCGAGCCCCTCCCGAATGTCCGAGCTCCTCATCCTATCTCTAAGGCTGAGCCCGGCCACCCTACGGAGGAAACTCATTTTGGCCGCTTGTATCCGTGATCTCGTTTTTTCGGTCATTACCCAAAGCTCATGACCATAGGTGAGGATTGGGACGTAGATCGACCGGTAAATGGAGAGCCTGGCTTTCTGGCTCAGCTCCCTCTTAACCACGACAGATTGGCTCAGCTTCTGCATCACTGCAGACGCTGAACCAATCCGCCTGTCGATCTCCCGATCCCTCCTACCCTCACTCGTGAACAAGACCCCGAGATACTTAAACTCCTCCACTTGAGGTAGGACCTCTCCCCCGACCCGGAGTTGGAAAGCCACCCTTTCCCGGTCGAGAACCATGGTCTCAGATTTGGAGGTGCTGATCCTCATCCCAGCCGCTTCACACTCGGCCGCGAACCTACCCAGCAAGAGCTGAAGGTCAGAGCTGGATGAAGCTAGGAGGACCACATCATCTGCAAAGTGTTCCCTCCTCGGAATGTGCGTAGGTGGGATTGAGGAGCTCCTCAAAGTATTCCTTCCACCGTCCGACTATAGCCCCAGTTGACATCAGCAGCTCCCCATCCCCACTGTAAACAGTGTCTGCGAGTTGCTGCCTTCCTCTCCTGAGGCGCGGGACAGTTTTCCAGAACCTCTTTGGAGCCGATCAATAGTCTTTCTCCATGGCCTCACCAAACTCCTCCCACACCCGAGATTTTGCCTCGGCAACTTTCACTGCTGCACCCCGCTTGGCTATCCGGTACCTGTCTGCTGCGTCCGGAGACCCACAGACCACCCACGCCCTGTAGGCCTCCTTCAGCCTGATGGCTCCCCGAACCTCTGGTGTCCACCAGCAGGTACGGGGGTTGCCACCACGACTGGCACCGGCCACCTTGCGACCACAGCTAGCAACAGCCGCCTCAACAATCGCAGAGTGGAACAAGGCCCACTCGGAGTCAATGTCCCCCACTGCTCTCGGGACGCGGTCAAAGCTCTGCCAGAGGTGGGAGTTGAAGACCGTCTTGACAGGTTCTTCTGCCAGGCATTCCCAGCAGACCCTCACTATGCGTTTGGGTCTGCCAGGTCTACGCGGCACCACTTAGTGGTGATCAGTTGACAGCTCCACTTCTCTCTTCACTCGGGTGTCCAAAACATGCAGCCGCAGGTCAGATGATGCGACTACAAAGTCTATCATCGACCTGTGACCTAGGCTGCCCTGGTACCAAGTGTACCGGTGGGCATCCTTATGTTCGAACATGGTGTTCGTTATGGCCAAACTGCGGCTTGCACAGAAGTCCAATAACAAAACACCACTCGAGTTCAGATCAGGCGGGCCGTTCCTCCCAATCACACCCCTCCAGGTCAAGCTGTCATTGCCCACGTGAGCATTGAAGTCCCCCAGCAGGACAATGGAGTCCCCTGATGGAGCACTATCTAGCACTCGTCCCAGGGACTCCAAAAAGGGTGGGTACTCTGAACTGATATTTGGCTCATAAGCACAAACAACAGTCAGGACCCGTTCCCCAACCCGAAGGCGCAAGGAGGCTACCCTCTTGTCCCTCGGGGTAAACCCCAACACACAGGCAGAGAGTCTTGGGGCTAACAAAAAGCCAACCCCAGCCCTCCGCCTCTCACCCGGAGCAACTCCAGCAAAGGAGAGTGTCCACCCCCTCTCAAGGACTTGGGTTCTAGAGCCAATGCTATGTGTCGAGGTGAGTCCGACTATATCTAGCCGGTACCGCTCAACCTCTGCCACAAGCTCCTGGTCCTTCCCCGCCAGCGAGGTGACGTTCCATGTCCCAAAAACCAGTTTCCTTGTCCGGGGATCGGACGGCCAAGGCTCCCGCCTCGGTCTGCCACCCGATCCACACTGCACCGGACCCTTCATGTTCCTCCTGCGGGTGGTGGGTCCACAGTTGGATGAGCCCACGTATCCAGTTCGGGTTGGGCCCGGCCAGGCCCCATGGGCGAAAGCCGGACCACCAGGCACTCGCTCACGGCACCCAACCCCAGGCCTGGCTCGAGGGTGTGACCCCGGTAACCCTCCGGGCCGGGTACTCCGACGCTTTGATTGTATATCCATGAAAGATCCTCTGAACCGTTCTTTGTCTCACCCTTCACCTAAGACCAATTTGTCATGGGAGACCCTACCAGGGCCACAAATTGCCCCAGACAACATAGCTCCTAGGATCATTAGGGTACTCAAACTCCTCCAGCACGATAAGGTGACGGCTCGAGGAGGAGAATCTTATCTTGCTTGGCTTAAAACTGGACTTTCTCCGTACTCTCCCTAGGAGAACATTGATGCTCGATGTAGAATTCATTTGTCTCTCTTGGACTTCAATTAGAACCCTGGATGGACACTTGTTCATATTTTACTTGATTATTATGTTGTTGATGGATCTTCCCTGTCTATTCCAAGTAAAATGACAATAATAATAAAAAAAATGTACATTTATGATAATAAATGCTCTAAAAATAGATATTTTTTCATCTAAAATTAAATTTTATTTACCAGTTTTGAAGATTTAATACTTGGTGAGTTAACTGATTTGTTTGATTAACTTTAGTTAGATGCGTGCACAAAATTAAGATTCAAGGCAAGGCAGCTTTGCTTATAGAGCACATTTCAAACACAGAGGCAATTCAATGTGCTTCACAATTATCAGGACATGATATGAAAACAACATAAAAACACAAATAAAAATACACACAGAAAGAATTATAGTTCAGAGCTAAAGGAGAAGACAAAGTTACAGTGGATATTACAGTGGAGACGACACATCATAAGAAACAATTCATTTAAAGGCTGATGAGTACATTAGGGTTTTAGTTTTGTTTTAAACAACTCTAGGGTTGGGGCGCATCTGAGGTCATGGGGAAGCTGAGTCCATATGTGAGCAGCATAGTAACCAAAAGCATCTCCACCACGTTTGGTTCTGACCCGACACTCGGACATGTATTCTGGTCCCATGCCATTGAGTGATTTATATACTAGTAGAAGCCCTTTGAAATCTATGCTGTAGTTTACTGGTAACCAGTGTAGGGATCTAAGAACAGGAGTGATGTGCCCCGTTCTGTTAGTTCTTGTTAAGACTCTAGCAGCAGCATTCTGAACAAGCTGCAGCTACTTCACAGCTTTCTTGGAAAGACCAGTTAGGAGACCATTGCAGTAGTCCAACCGACTAGAAATAAAAGCATGAATGATTTTCTCTAAGTCTGGTCTGGACATGAGACCTCTGACTCTTGATATAAGATGAAGGTGATAAAACGCTGATTGAGTTATAGCCATAATATGTCCAGTTAAAATTTGGTTAAATTCAGAGTTGAAAAACTGATTCAGATTCAGAAATTTTGTGCATCAACTGATTTTGACATTTTGCGTGAAACAAAAATGGAAAACTTCTAGCAGCCATTAAAACTGACAACACATATCGGCTGTCGGCTAACCACGACCTCTACGTCTCATCTGATCTAACTCCTCTTATGGTTAAATGTGTCTGAATTAGGTGCTTGATTGTTTGTACCAGTAAAACAGCAGGGACATATGTATTCTCACTGTTTTGTCAATCCTCTTTTTCAGAGCTGATCCTGGTGCACCTCAATGGTTGAAGCCAAGTTTCAGCAAATGTAAGCGTGCTTGTGTTTTCTTTAGACATTAAAACCTTGTGCATCATACATAGACGATGGGATACATGACAAAAAGGCTTTAATGTTGCTGTCTCTTCAGATTTTTGTGATCTCACGCTGGACCCAAACACTGCTCACAAGTTTCTTAAGCTGTCTGAAAACAACCGGAAGGTGACGGATCTGAGAAAGGAGCACCTATATCCTGATCATCCAGACAGATTTGACTACTGGCCTCAGGTGCTGTGCGAAAACGCCCTGACCGGTCGCTGTTACTGGGAGGTGGAATGGGTTGGGAAGGTTTACGTGGCCTTGAGTTACAGAGGAATTAAGAGGAACGGAGACACCGATGGCTCCAAGTTTGGAGGGAATGACCAGTCCTGGTGTCTGGCCTGCACCGATGGGGGATACAATGCTTGGCACAACAACAACGGCACCCTCATCCCCCTCCCCTCTCCCACCTCCTCCTCTGTCTGTAACAGAGTAGCTGTGTATGTGGACTGCCCTGCTGGGACGCTGTCCTTTTACAGGGTGTACTTGGATAAACTCACCCACCTCCACACCTTCAACACCACATTCACCGAACCTCTTTACCCCGGATTTGGGTATGGGGTGAAACTGAACTCCTCTGCCTTTTTGTGTCCGCTCTGAACCAGCAGCACAATGGCTTTATGCAGGTCAGCTACATGTGGACATGAGGTTAGAGTTGATCGTGCACAGAAGAGGATCTTGGGGATAAGAAAGTAGCAGGTAAAAACCTAGAGAGCAGAGTAGCACCCGGACCGCCTTCACATTTATTGTGATCTAAGATGCTGTGGAGAGTAACCGGATCTAGTGTGAAGGCGGCCTGAAACCAAACTACCAAATTTTGGTTTGATAGAAGCAACTCCTTACATTTACCCAAAACCAAATAGGAAATTGATGGTGTTTAAAAACAAGTGCGATTTTAAACCACAAGCCCCTGATACCCCAGCTCAGACACTTGTGAGAAAAGATGGCTAACATCAAAGGGATCTGGGGAAAAATAAGAGACATCCTGAACAACTGAACTCTGCACACTCGTTACTGAACACTGTTACAGCTCTATTTAGATCACATATAAAAGGTCTCAATATCAAAAAGAGCAGATAAAGAGCAATAAAGATAAATAATCCACAGTGGTGGGGAATGTGAACACACTAATCAACTTTTTTGTAAATCAAAACTTAGCAAATGTTTGGATTCGGGTCGATTCAAGACTGCAAACGTGTAAGAAATGATACAATGTAGAGAGGAGAGGTAGAATCTGCAAGGGGAATTCAGCTCAAAGCAGCCATCACTGCACAAGAAAAGATATAGAGTACGTAAATGATTAGTATAGAAATGAATGGGATGGTTTTTATTCTACATAAAGTTTTAATATGAAAGAGTATCTGTAAAGACGTAGGTGTACATAATCTGTGCGGGGTATGAGTGTATATTTATGTGTTTATGGTTATAACGAATTACGGTTTTGTATAAGAAACTGTTCATAAATGTTGGGGAAGGACTAAAAAAGCCACGGCTTCTCCAAAGGGATTCAGATGAAGGCACATGGACTTGTTTGGTTTCTTGAAGACATTTTGTTTCTCATCCGAGGAGCTTTGTCAATTCTGGATTACCATTACCTGGATGAGAACATTCACCAGCATACATCTCCTTTTGAACACTCCCCCCCAGGCCAAAGACCATTTTGTTGAAGAAGATCTTAATCATGTATTTTTTTTTTTTTTGGTTTTGTTTGTTTTATGAATGTTTTGTTATTATTTCAATTGTTTGAAATAAGAGAAACTGAAAGAAACTAAGACTTGAAGCAAAAAGTGATACAGAGGTCTGCAGGTTTGAGAGACAATCACTTATTAAGTGTATTTATATGTTGAGAGGTGCTTAAAACATTCATAATGAATGTGGTATTTTAAATCATTCAAAAATGAATGCCTGTTTGAATATAACAAACATTTTAAGTTGTATTTACTTGCTTCTTATGTTTCCTTTAAATGTGCAGCAGGGTGCCAAAATGTGTCCCTGAATGTAGACAGTTCATGTTAAAGGTATGTTTACATTTTTCTTAGACTGTTTTTGTTTTTTCATTGTTAATTTCAGCTGTAAGACAGTTTATTGAGTCTGTGAAACATTTACATCTGTGATGTTTGTAATTTTCAACAATATTATGAGAGAAATTTTTTTTTCTTTTTATTTCGAACAGATCAAACAATCCTGAATTCACCAAGAAAAAAAAGAGCTTTTGTTGCTAAAGTTATAATAACTACGAAGAAATGAAACAGTTTGAATTGTAAAACAGATATTTTTATGTCGTTATTAATTTAGTACTTCAGGTATTTATATTAGGCGCTGTTTGTACAGTCTTTCTATCTTAATTCATGCTTTCACCACCAGAGGGAGACAAATTCCCATCCACGAAGAGTTAAAGGAGAATATAAACACAAATGTTAATATTAATGCAGCTTATAAATAAATTGTAAATGTGGGAGGCTGCATCTATGTAAAATTACTATTTGCCTGTTTAAATATTCCATATTTTAAAAATAAGCAGACAGAAATGTCATAAAACATTAAATATGAGTTTAAACTGTCGCTGGAAAACAAAATAATTGTCCCAAAACATGAAAAAGCTAATTAGAACGATGCATACATTATTAAATAGATTTTCGTTGCATTTTACCCTGTTGACCGTCATCAGTACTGTTTGCCATCATTTTTAAGTTGGCAAATTTACCTCAGGTTCTGTTTAAAGGAATGAAAACGAACTATTTTATTGACATGTTTTAAAGTAACATTTAAACTGAGTTTGTTGAAGGTTAACAGATGTTTAGCAAATATGAAGGAGAAAATGAATGTTCTCATTAGGCGAATAGGGTTAAAACAGCGCCAACTAGCGGCCACGAGGTGTAACATTCTCTTGAAAACATTCTTTTAAAAACCCTTCAGCTGTTTGCAGACTCCAGAATAATGTTTGATTCCCTGTGATGCACTTCCGTGAAACGAGAACTTTCTCCAGCTGACTCCAGAGTCTGGCTGAGGACCCGCAGCTCCACTAGCAGCAAACAAAAGCTGTCTGAGCTTCAACCTCCGGGTTAATCATTGCCTCATTTATCGCTAAATTCATAAAGTCTGGTTGCTTTATTGGCCGAACCTGTTTGGACTTGTGCAGAGACCGAGGGGCTGGAGAAGATGAACCCGAGCAGCGGAACCCGCAGAGGGAAGACTTTCCTGTTCACATCCGAGTCTGTAGGAGAGGGACACTCCGGTACTGTAGCACTCTTCTGTCTCACTCAGAAAAAAACAACATAATCCTGCACGGAACAATGCCCGTGCTACAGCTAAATCTGTGACCTAGCATAATCTGTGACTATGGGGGGGGGGGGGGCGCTAGTGACCAAGGTCACATAATTTTCTACCTATAAAAATTGGTGACCAGCATGTTATTTGCTATAGGAGCGTCTTAAATACAGTCAAATGAGTCCAGACTATATTTAGAAGACAGAAGAACCTAACTGAACAGTTCAATTAACCCTCCCACTGTCCTAATGGGTGTGACCCCGTGAGGAAAGTTGACCATTGAGCAGGGTTGATGGTTTATCCCTTGGTTCCATGTAGCAGGGGTGAGGAGTGAGCACCACCTCACCCCTGCTACGTGGACCTCAAGGGATAAACCATCAACCCTGCTTAATGGTCAACTTTCCTCACGGGGTCACACCCATTAGGACAGTGGGAGGGTTAAACTAATATATGAATATTGTGGATTTTTAACCAGGGTGACATAATTTTCTACCTAAAAATGGTGACCAGCTTGTTATTTGCTACAGGAGGGTCTTAAGTAGAGTCAAATAAGTCCAGACTAATTTAGGAGACAGAAGAACCAAATTAAACAGTTTTATTCTACTTTTACCTGAAAATTATGGATTTAAGGTCACAGATTTTTCTACCTATTAAAATATGGTGACCAGTTTATTATTTGAGGGTCGTAAGTAGAGTTGGCTGAGTCCAGATTATAATTAGGAGGTAGAAGAACCAAATTAAACCATACCATACCAAGTTTATTTGTATAGCACATTTAAACACGGCACGAGAGCCATTTAAGAGTTCATTCTTTGATTAAGCAACTCATACGAGCTGAGAGTGTTCACTTTATTCAGAGGCATGAGGAGTCCTGTAGAACGATAAGGGAAGCTTGAGGCCTTGAGCAAGGAACATGATGTTGGCAATACGTTATCATGTGTTCAGAGCTGCAGAGAGGCTCTGAATTCCAGCTGATTCGGATGCAGGATCCGGCAGATTAAAGGCAGCACATGCAGACTCCTGTCTCCATGTCGACTAGATATTGAAGAGTCAAACTGCACTTGAAAACTGACCATTTCTGGACATTACATAACCCCCTTTTCAAGGGCACGGGGTCCCGGCAGAAACGACGGGTCGCTGAATAATCCCTGAGGCCCTAGGGACTCAGTTGAGGAAGGAAAGGTTAGTTCCCAAGCAGAGGCATCAGGAGTGGGGACAAACAAACCCCCACACTAGAGAATAGTCAATGGAAATCCCAAACTTGAAGAGATGATTCCAAACAGGCGATGATAATTCCACTTAGCATATCCTTAGGAAGGAAGCAGATGAGCAGGGACCAGCCCCGGCCCCAGGTGAACCGTAGAACTCCAGCAACCATGGCTTTGAGCAAAAATGTTATCAAAAGAGAAGGGCAAAATAATCTATAGCCCATAACTGGTAAAAGTTAAATTAAAGGAGGCCATAATAGATATGACATAAAGGAATCAGCTGTAATGAAATAATGCAGTGTATATATATGAATATATCTTTAAAGAAGTAAAAATATAAAGAAGAAGAAATACTAAAATGTAAATCAGAGGGTCTTCAAGAAAGGTGAGGTAGAACACAGTGTGATTGCGTCTGATGACTTTTTGATAAGAATCAACCTCATTGCTTAACGCAAACCAAATTCTTTCCCTTTTACACCCAGAACTCAGCTTTCCTAGATACGGACATTCTGATAACATCATATTCACACATAGGCACCTGTAGGTTCAGTAAATTGAGTGTTTTAAGAGCTCAATATATATATTACCTCTACTTATGACCATTAAGCTGTGATACTCTTATCTAAATACAGAATATCAACCCTGCTTGGTCTTTATTGTGCTTTAATCAGAAGATTCTAGCATTCTTTATTTATTAGGGGATTGTACACACTTCGTTTTGATTCAGAAAACAGTCAGGTTTATAAAAGTAAGAATTTATTTTACAAACAATTATAACATGACAAGTAAACTAAGCATTTACTGTGATGGATGGAACTAAATGTGATGTATGAAACCTATGTGTGAATGCGATGTTAGTCAGAACTTCCGTATCTAGGAGAGCTGAGTTCTGGATGCAAAAGAATTTGGTTTGCGTTAAGCTATGAGGTTGATTATTATCAAAAACACATCATATGCTATCTGTCATGTCTACATACCCACTCGAAGACCCTCGTGATAGATCCGGAATGTCGAAGTCCTCGGACTTCCAGGCACCGAGGCCCGTAGAAGAAACTGCGGCCCCGCTAAACCAGTCTTAGAGTTGTCTCCAGGTCACAACAGACAGATGGAACCACGCGTCTGGGACTCTTAAGGAATCTAAACAATATCAGCTTGTTCTGCAGGAACTGTTTTGTTGTTTCAGCTTTGCAGGTGCAAAAAGGTTTTGACGAAGTGTCAAAAGCTTTGGTGGGTTAAAGAGGTGTTGCTTCAGGTGGCCAGTCTGAAGCTTCTCTAGAACTGTAGGAAAACCCGAGTAATCTGGTTTTAATGTTCTCATGTTATATACAACATAATCGTGTAGCCAACCAGAGGTTGACAAGTTTGAGGATATTACCAAGAATCTCAGAAACACACGCCTTCTTTGATACCGGAAGCTCTGATCTGGGGTAAAGGCTATTTATGTGTCATGGGTTTAACTTTACCTTACTTTGTTCTTTTGTGAGTGCAAATGTTATGACTTTGTCAAGTAAACATGCAATTAATCATTGAGAACAGATTAATGAAACATTTCATTATTTTATAATTATTATCAGTAGCAATAAACAATTATTTATTTACTGATTACCTGGCTTATAAGTTTAAGAAGTTCATATTTAATTTTTAAATCTTCTTTCTTCTGTGAAGCACGGAGTCTTAGATAAAAGGGGTGCTCTGTGAGGGACCTTGAGGAGACAATGTTATTGTTATGATTTCGTTATCTCTGTCAGAGCTGCAGGCTCTGAGCTCCAGCTGGTGGGATGAAGGCAGGCTGATTTAAAGGGAACACGTGCAGTCTCATGTCTCTTTTTTGACCAGATGTTGGATGGCCAAACAGTACTTAAAAACTAGCCATTGCTGGACATTACACACCATACATCACATCTCCTCCACCTAGATCCATCCATTCACAGTAAATATTAGTTAACTTGTCATGTTTTAATTGTTTGGAGAATAAATTCTTACTTTTATAAACCTGACACTTCCCTGAATCAAAACAAAGTGTTTACAATCCCTGAATAAACAAATAATCCTAGAATCTTCTGATTAAACATCCAAAGACCAAGCAGGTTGATATTTTGTATTTATATAGAGTATCACAGCTTATTGGTCATAAGTAGAGATAATATATTAAGCTCTTAAAGCACTCAATTTACCCACTCCTACAGTAGTCTAAATGTGGGTTTGGAGGTGGTGGTGACTGCATTACGAAGAGTATGAAGGACAAATTTGTCTGTGTTCAAAGTCTCTGAAATACATTAACACAATAGTAAATACTCTAGGGGTGTTTCTCAATGCCAAGGAACCTCACCTTGATGTTTTGGCCCCGCCCCGGTTGCCTAGGAGATACATCATCAGGAGCCGCCAAGAAGTGTCCCAATGTTCATGTTCTACCGAGGTGTGTGTTCGCCGTTTGTTAGCCGTTTAGCTAGCTGAGCGAGGATACACGGGAGGTGTCTTGTAGCCTAGCCTTGGTGAAAAATTACCCACAACACGCTGCGGTATTTTCTAAAGGACGGTGAATCAGAAGCCAGCAGCTACTTAAGGGGCAAATTTCAAATTTAAAAGTAAGTCAACTAATTTAAAATGTTTTTTTTTTAGATCCAAATAATTTATCTATGGTTGGTTAGTTGCTTATTAATTGCAGCTTCTGTGGCTAGCGAGTAGTAACTCACTTATATATTTAATTTAACAAATATATACACAATTTAAAAAGTAAAAGGCTCGTTATATTTTTATATTGAAACTAATGCGTATAAAATATAACGTTATCTCCCGTGTCACGTGACGTTACGGGACTGTCGTGGAAGCCACGGTCACGTGATGCAAGTCTGTTCCATTTAACATTTTCTTTGACCAAGGAAGGACAGTGTCCTTGTAAGTACAGCGCCTGGCCTCGCAAGACATCACCTCGCAAGGCTAGGCGCCTTAACATTGAGAAACACCCCCGGTGACAATGCAGAAGTTTAAAATGAAAAAGTCTCGGTCAGTACGTGTATGTGAGTGCAAACCTACTGGTGGAAATTTTTAAACTAGGCTTTAGCCTGCAGCTGTGATTAGGATAGTCCCCTATTGTGCCTTTTACTCCAAAACATTTACCTCAAATTACAGAAACACTAAAATTTCAGAAAAAAAATTCAAAGACTTATTTTGGTTATTGTTTTCTAAAAACTGGTCGGGATGCTGGTTGCTGTGCAGGGTTTCCCCTAGTGCTAATGCCCCCACCCATCACGGATGATGCACGGTAGCACTCCCTCCCGCTCTCACACCTGGGCTGTCTACTGTTGGGCTTAGCAAGTTTTCTGGGGGATGGACAAGGGTGCACTTGAGAATCGGAACACTACACACTCACACCCCTGGCCGGGATCATGTAGTTAAAGGGTGCAAGTGTGGAAGTGCGAGGATTGGGATTGGACCTATGTCCGTGCGACCTTATATTAATCACCATGTGTCCTTCTACGGGAGCCCGTGAGGACAAAATGCATTTACTGATTTGTAGCAAGATCTTACAGAACTTTGTCCATTCATAAAAGTTGCTGTTTTACACATTTACCTCTTCATTCATTGCCAGTGATGAAAGAGAGTCTGATGTGTTTTATCTTGCTGGTGGTTGTGCTCCCAGGGATGTTTTACCCTAATGGCCATCCATTGGTAAGGTCTTAAGCCTGATTTATGCTTCTCCGTCTGCGTCAGTGCGGAGACACGCAACGCCATTATCCGTCCTTGCGTAGGGCTCCGGCAGGCACGCAAGTACGTACGGAGTCGAGCCCACTTTTTTAAACATCCGTCGAACGAGACGGATTACGCAAGCTTGTGATTGGTCAGGACGCCGCTGTTGTTTACAGCGCCGCCATTGCAAAGAGAGCAGATGATAACTAGCGACAGACACGGAGAAGATTGAAGAATACCTCGCGAAAAAACTCTAAAAATATGAACGTTTCATCCTCCCGTGACTGGAGGAGTGAAAAGATGTGCAGCAAGCGTTTTATTTGTGGACGGAAATGACAGGAAACGTGGGTTTAGAGGTGGGGAGTGCATGAAGCGGTGGGAGAATGAGAGACAAATATGTCCGTGTTAAAAAGTCTCTTATAAACACAAAAAACACAATATAAACACACTATCTTGGACCGGATACATGACAGGATACCACAGAACAGCGCTACGCCCTCTGTGGTCCTGCCGGGCAATTGCTTTGCAACACTCTCCAGGAGACGGAGAAGTAAAAGAGCAAAACGCTTCCGTCAATACGTGCGTGTCTGTCCCTTGCGGAGCTGACGGAGAAGCATAAACCAGGCTTCACTCGAACACTTGCTTACCATGATCTAGGTATGTACTGCCCCCTATCACTGGGGAAAATACACACCGTCACTTTAAACCAGAGGTGGGAAGAGTAGCTAAACATACTCAAGTTAGTGAGCCTTTTTGATGATGAGAAATCTTGGATTTTTTATTTGAATATATTTTTTACTCAGAAATGTATTACCATAAATTAATTTACAATAAGAAAACAAAAAGAATATCCTTGGAGATTTTAGATCATTAATATCTAAATATTTTTCACATAATATTCATTTCAATTAATAAACTGATGGTGCTAATATATTGACTTTGTGTTCTCAGACAAAATGTGTGATCAGATTAGTGATGCTGTACTTGATGCTTACCTGAGTCAAGACCCGGACTCTAAAGTGGCCTGTGGTAAGCTTTCTCTGTTTATTATAGTTATTATTTATCTTATATAATCTGTTTTAACCTCCAAACAAAAGAAAATACCTAATAAAAAGAAAAGCCAGTTATTTGAAAACTGTGTAATCATACCATGTTTAATAAATTAAACAGCATTTGGCCTTTAGATCAGAGATTAGCACAGTATTACCTCACCTTGTATCTCATCACTCATCAGATTAATTTAGATTGCTCTTTGGGATTTTCCTGAGCACAGAAAAATTTTTTATTTTGGTAAATTTCAGATTGTGTATTTTGCTGCTTTTCTCATATGCTACTTTTCCAAAATAAGGAAATGTGAAATCAGCCACTAGTCTGGCATAACTGAAAACACATTTTTCCACAGCTATGTAAGTTTCTGAGTTGTTTTGATGCATTAATTAATTAATTAATTAATTAATTAATTAATTTATTTATTTGCAGTTCCATAAAATACACACTCATTTGTGACAATAGGACCTTTAATTTAAAAAACACAAATACAGGAAATAAAACCTAACTGTAGCAGTACATCAGCAGGTTGTCCTGTAATCAGACGGTTATAGGATCGATCCCGGCAGAGAATGCTGCTGTTGTGTCCTTGGGCAAGACACTTAACCCACCTTGCCCACTGGTGGTGGTCGGAGGGACCGATTTTTACCAGTTCTTGTTTTGTTACAGAGTGTGTGGCAAAGACTGGAATGATTTTACTGGTTGGAGAGGTGACATCTAAAGCCATAGTGGACCTCCAGGCTGTGGTTCGAGATACCATCAAGAAGATTGGCTATGATGACTCTTCTAAAGGTGACATATAAAAACGCTCAGTCTGTCTCATCAGATCTTTAAAGGGGACATATTTGCATCTTTTTGTGTTGCCATTTGGGTCTCTGCTGCTTCTATAAACACTCCAAATGTGAATAAAAATTGCCCATCTATTTGTGTCAATATTTGGTTTCAGGAGTCATTTGCTTCCATGAGCCATTTGGAAAGGTCCCTTGTTGTGACATCAGAATAAGGAGAATTAGCAAAGAAACAACTTCTCATCAATCGAAGCTAGGGCTGGGCGATATATCGATATTTTTAAAATATCGATGTAGTTTTTTAAACTAGATTCAAGATGACTTTATATATTTATATCAATGTAACTGGTCAAACTGCTATGCTAGCGATTAGCCGCTATGCTAGTGACATGTTGCTCTGTCTCTAAGCGGCTATTACATGCATTCTCACAAGTTTGCTCATATCTGAGAGCCTCTGGGTAAATGTGCTGCTCTAAACTTTGCATTTGGCGTTCTGGTTTTTAATAATTTGGGGACGTTCAACGCCAACTGATTTCTGTTCTCCATCCTTCTTGTGCGGAGCCAGAGAGATGAGCCAAACCCCTCCCTTCCCTGTGTAATCAGGAAACATCTGCAGATAGACGGAGTGGTCAAACTGCCTCAAAAGTGTTGTAAGGGTTTGAATAGTAAACTATTGAGTAAACGTTTTATTTTGAAGGCAAGCTCAACGGGTGAGAAATGTTGTTCCGGTTCCATTTTTTTCCGCTCTGGTTCGCTATGCTAGTAAATACTCCGTTACGAGCAATTCTGTTGAAAAAGTTAAGAGTTTGTAAGGCGTGGGTTACGGCAACAGTAGCCCGAAAATAATACTTATAAAAGAGCAACCAGAGACTCTGAGTCATTACAGTATAATTGCTGATATGAGCCAATACTGTTAGACTCCAGCCATGTTTGCCCTGATGACTAACAACTCCACAGTGCATGACCCATGTGATCCTCAGTAGATGCAATTACATCATCATAAATTTAGCTTAACATGATATTATGATTTATTTTCTCTGGACAAGAAATAAACGATATGGCCACCTATAGATGAAATTTAAATACAGAGGTATTCTTCAAGCTTCTCTGTGTCCGCTGTTAGATACTTCTTCGTGCCTTTAAAGCCATCCATAATCTCACTCCCCCATATCTTTCTAATCTCCTCCACATTGTCACTCCCACTCGCTCTCTCCGATCATCATCTTCACCTTCCCTGTCTGTTCCTCGCACTCGTCTCAGTACTATGGGAGCCAGAGCTTTCAGCCACTCAGCTCCAAAACTCTGGAACACTCTACCTCCTGACCTCCTCAATATAAACTCCTTCTCAACCTTCAAGTCTCAACTCAAAACTCACATGTTCCGCCTGGCTTACTCACTGTAACTGTCCTCCTTCCATCTACTCTTTTTAGTCTATTATCCATTGCACTGCTCCGACTCTACCCTTGGGAATTACTCTTAGCATTTATTTCTTGTTGTTTGTATGGCTTGCTTGTTATATTTTGTCTTGTACAGTGACCTTGAGAGCTTTGAAAGGCGCTTGAAATAAAATGTATTATTATTATTATTAACTTTCCTTGTGGGGTCACACCCATTAGGACAGTGGGAGGGTTATATAGTTTATATACTTTAATATGTTTTGTTTTGACCATAGGACTATTATAACTAGGGATGCAATGATACCACTTTTTTCTAAACCGATACGATACCGATACTTGGATCTGAGTACTCGCCGATACCGATTACCGATACAGATACTTCTACCACACAAAAAATGCAATGAATTGGAATACAGGTTTTATTTTCTTCTGTTTTCAATAGGAAAAGACTGTGAGGTGGATAAAAAGTAATAGAAGTGATCACAAAATTAAAATATTAGGTCAACAGAAATGACAAGTTACAGTGGTCACTTTCAAGCAACTGCATTGTTATCAGTTACTGGTATATGTTAACTTTTACCGATACGATACTGGTATCAGTATCTGTATCAGCACCGATACCGATACCAGTATCGTATCGGTGCATCCCTAATTATAACTTTTTAAAAAGAGGTATAAAATGTCCCCGTTAAAGTTTCTGTGGAACTGACCCAGGAAACTTGAAATAATCAAAACCTTTTACTATTTTTAACCTGTTATTTGTAGGTTTTGACTACAAGACCTGCAATGTGCTGGTGGCTCTGGAGCCACAGTGTGAAGAGATCTCAGACTGTGTGTTTGAGGGTCGGGATCAGGAGGACATCGGTGCCGGGGACCAGGTGAGGGGTTTTATCAAAAACAGCTACGTTACTGAAACAGTAAGTAAAGGCGGGCTGGTGGTGCATCAAATTCACACCAGAGAACTCTAAGCAGCTTTAGCTCTGTGTAGATGCTTGCTGCAACATGTCCCATCTACACCACCAAAGACAGCATTTCAGATTCATGCTTCATGCGGACCACATTTCAGGCCCCGCTCCTTCCCCTCCCCATGGATGGGGTTGTACAGAATAAAATGTAGTAAAAGTGGTGCAAATGCAGTGAAATTGATCAGATTTGTGGTCGGGATTTTCATGATTGTGAGTCATAATGTTCTGCAGTGGGTTTCACTGACTGTTCTCCAACAGCTCTCCACCCAAACAGAAATATCCAGAGGTGTGGTAAGGATGTGTGCACATTGGAGGCTCCGCCCAGCCAAGAAATGTTAAAAAATTGTGTGTGCAAAAGTTTTAAACCAATGACGATTTCTTTGTACATTTATAGGTGCAAGAGTGGTTTAGATCAGAAGTTCTATTTGAAAATATTTGATTTATTTGATCCCTTTTATTCTCTCCAGGGCTTGATGTTTGGGTATGCCACTGACGAGACCGAGGAGTGCATGCCTTTAACCCTCCTGCTGGCACACAAGCTCAACTACAGGATGAAGGAGCTGTCTCGTAATGGAACGTGTCCCTGGATACTGCCAGACTCTAAGTCACAGGTGAGAACAACAACGCCTTAAAAGCTTTGTGTGTTTTGGTTCCATTGTTGTGAGTGAGAGCGTCCACCCTGTTGTACTGTCCTGTAGGTCACAGTGGAATACAGGGACAACATGGGAGCCATGGAGCCTGTGCGTGTCCACACGGTGGTCATCTCTGTCCAGCATAGCCCCGACATCACCCTGGAGGAGATCAGATGCAACCTAATGGAGAATGTGGTGAAAGTCGTCATTCCTGCCAAGTATCTGGATGATAAAACCATCTATCATCTGCTGCCGAGCGGGAAGTTTCTCATGGGAGGCCCTCAGGTTTGTAAAGGTCCAGCCAAAGGGGGGGTTCTGTGTGACCTCATACCAGGATGTCGGCTTCTTGCACTAAAATGTTTTATTCCCTGATTTTATCGTTTGGAAAACCTTAATTTTTATTTAATGTTTTAAAAACTTTTATTTTTAGTTATTTATTTCAGGAAATTTGTCAATATTGTGTCATTTAATTTTGAACTTAATGTTTTCATGTTTATGTTGACTGGCTAATCTGAAATAATAGATAGATAGATGGATAGATGGATGGATGGATGGATGGATAGGTAAGTAAATAAACAAATAAATAAGGACAATCACACCAAATAAAAATGTGAGTCCTAGGATTTTAAAATTATTTTCTTGAGCCAGTATGCTCTAAAATGACCTTTACATGGTTAATGAAACGTCACTCAGATCCAGATTTGTTTTATTTAGTCATAATTCACTCCTGTAGAAACTAATGAAGGCTGAGGAGAAATTTCAGCTGTTAGGTTAATGTGTTAAAAAGACAAACGCACAGCGAGGAGAGAGTTTTACTTTCGGTTTTATGACAGTGAATTAATAATGGCCTCTAGGGGGAGATAAAAGCTAGCTAAAACTATTCAGTGTGCCTTTAATGTGAGTTTCTGTCTAACAACAGGGTGATGCTGGACTCACAGGGCGTAAAATCATAGTGGACACCTATGGTGGGTGGGGTGGGCACGGGGGTGGAGCGTTCTCTGGGAAGGACTACTCCAAAGTGGATCGCTCAGGAGCTTATGCGGCGCGATGGGTTGCCAAGTCTCTGGTGAAAGCCGGACTGTGCAGAAGGGCCCTCGTCCAGGTGAAGAATCTCCTAATTTATTGCTCCATTCTTCCCTCACCTGCACACACAGCTGCTGTTGTTTCTAAAACACTTTGTGCCTTCAGATCTCTTATGCCATCGGTGTGAGCCAGCCACTCTCCATCACAGTGTTTCACTTTGGCACGTCCAACAGAGATGAAGACGAGCTTCTGCAAATTGTGCAGAAGAACTTTGACCTCAGGCCTGGAGTTGTTGTCAAGTATGTGAAGTCAAAGGGGACATATTTTAGCTTTTTAAACAAGTTGTAATCCTTCTATAGTTGATGCAAAAAATGCTCGTGATGTTCTTTGCACTAAATCAGACAGTTTCAGTACCTTCCAGAATGAGCCGTTTGAGGGCTCTATGACTTAAAGTATCTTTCCAGAGGTTTCCCCTTTCAGAAATTATGTATAATTTTTCAGAAATCCGTAAAAGTGATTGTCTCGTTATGTACTGTGATATAATGTAGGCCGTCTTTTATTTATTTATTTATTTTTTGCTAAGCACCCCCCCCCCCTGCCCTGTAGAGCTCCTTGCAATAGGAAACTGAGTGCCGACCAGAACTGACTAATAACGTTAAGACTACCGCTTATGTGCTTCAAATTTAAGGAGTACCTCGGCTGATGCAGAGCTGATAAACTTTTCACGGACGAGTAAGCTTTTTAAATATAAATATATAAAACACAACATGATGTGAGAATAATACGTGTAAAACAACGTGTTTTAGCTGTTTGTCGGCTACAAAAGCACATTTATAAACAAGAAACGTAAAGTGGTCATCTTAAAACTGATTCAGAGACTATTTGTGTGATATGCTTGTCAGCCACTAGATGGTGCCATCGGATAAGAGAAATACTCCGGAAAGATGCTTTAAATGCTATTAAGTTATTTCTGGCCACGCCCACTCTTCCACTAATTGGCTGCTATGAGGTGAGGAGCTTGAAAATCAGGGAATGAATTGGAGTAGAGCCGCTGCTCCTCCACGTCCAGCGCAGATGCCTCCCTAAGCATCGACAGGTGGGGGGGGGGGGCGGAGAGTTTTTTTTTTAATGTAAATGTTCCTTATTGCTTCTTCACAATAGCCGTTTTCACAAAACAGTGTCGTGAATTTACTGCAACACCGTGGCAGCATCAGGGAGCCTTAGGTTGTTTGTAAGTGGTCAGACCGTGGTGATAATGTGCTGCAATCTTGGCCTTTTTACAAAAGATTAGACGATGGCGGCATAAAGGTGGTATAGGGGCAGTCCCTGCGCCACCGTGGACTTAAGTTTAGCTTGGACATAACTTGTTTTTTGCGACTGAAGCCAAGCTCATTACGTTTTTTCGTTCCTAAAGGTGTCTGTCCCCCACAGTCCTCATGCAGTCTCTGGTGGTTTGAGCTCCAGCTCTAACAGAGAGACACCCACGAAGCGTTGCAGCACTCCAGTTTGCCGTCTCAGCTGATTTTGTTAAAAAACAAAACTTACAGCTTGTTTTTACTTTCATTTTCAATATAGTTGCTGGTCGAAGCTCGGCAGTAACTCCCCATGTCATCATGACACCTCCCTTTGTTGTTCCAAGGTGCAATAGCCGTTTGTGCAAGGCATAAGCAAAGCAGAACAAATGTTGCAAAATTCGCCCATCGCCATGCTGGCATGGCGTGTGTATAAGATGCACTGTTGTGGTAAATTATGCTGATTTGCCGGCATGGTGTCTCTTGTAAAAAGGGCTAATAAGGACCATTTTTAAAAAACTCATAGAAGCAAATGATTCCTGACACCCAATCTGACAGAAAGCTGATGAACATTTTTTATCGCGTCTGGGGTGTTTACAGAGGCAGTAGAGACCCACATGGCAGGATGTAAAAAGTGAGATTTTCAAGATATGTCGCCTTTTATAGTAAATTGTCGTGTCTTCTAATGCAAAACCTGCTAGTGGGACATTTGTTTCCTGTTTTTCAGAGAGCTGGGCCTGAAACGGCCAATTTATCAGGCCACCGCTTGCTACGGTCACTTTGGAAGAAAGGAGTTTCCCTGGGAACAACCAAAGAAACTCGTGTTTTTACCTTGATGTCATCACTCAGGAATCAACCAACAACCTGAGCTCAGCCACAAAGTCTCCAGAAAACTATTAGAGTTAATAATTTTTTTAAAGGTTTTTGGTGATTAAACTAGTAGCATTAAATGAGACACATAGGATAGTAAATGAACTGTTTTTACCCTTAAATGATCATTTTTAGGTTAAATATGTAATACTTACTTGTTAAATAGATAAAAAAATAAGGAAATCTAATGATTTATGTAGCTTTAAATGACCTGGCTGGTAGTCGTAGTCAGATCATTAAAAATTTCACACCAGTTAACAAAATAATAAACTAATTTTGATACATGGATTGTTTTGGAATTAAATCAGGTAATTTGTTAGTAATGTAGAAATAATTCTGACGGCGATTGTAAAACTTTCTGAAGATGACAAATAAACCTTTTAAGATTAATCAAATGCCAAAAATAAAGATTTGATACTTGAGCAAATATGAAACCTTTGGTGGTGGAAGTTGGGGCTTTTCATCTACTCATGCGGGTGGAGATAAAAATAAAATAAAATATGTTAAATATGCTTCTTTAACATAAACAAGCTGACTGAAAAGTATAGGCTGAAGCTATTGCTTATGCTACCTACCCTTTTCTATGCAAATGAGCAACAACTCTATTTTAAGGTCCTGTTGAAAGATGGAGGTCCTTATCTCTAATGCCGCTTACACATTAGCGTCAGTACGGTCGGGGGAGGATGGCATCAGTTCGGTTTCGTACGGGTGGTGTAGTGTGTACATGTAGTTCCGAATGACTTCTCAGGAATGCGGAAATCCCCAAGTCCATGGGCGGCGTTTAAGACGCGTGGGAAAGTCCATGGTGTCCATCATAAGATAAACAAAGGTGTGCATGAGCTGTGTTGCTTTTGGAGACTCAGAAACACATTATTTTATTAAATTGCTGTGTGTCCTCATAAATCTCTGTCCACCACTGCTGTGGGCCACACACAATATAACAGACGCGTCTGTTTTGTGGCCACTAGGTGCCCTCAGCGTCCCTACGTCCCTACCTGCTTTCCTGGCTCTAGCTGAGCCAGGTGAATTTGATTTCAATCAGTGAGGCTCCCTGTTAAAAGGATGAGTCAGATGATACAGAGGGGGGGGGGGGGGGGGGGGTTCAGAAGAGAGCAAGCTGTAGTCTGCTCTCCTCTTTCCCTCCTTGTACAGACGTTAAAGTCTCGCTTTGCTTACCTGAGTGGTATTGATAATCACTTCATAATAGTTTCTAGAGCTCATTTTGTGTTTCTTCGGCATCCTCGTTAAAGAGAGATCTAGCTCACCCTTTTGGTGGAGCTTTTTGTGTTAATCCTGCTCATTCCTTACCCGGTTTTAATCCCCAGCGCTTTGTGTTTAATATTATTATTGTTGTTAAATCCCCAGTTTTGGATGTCTCTTGTTTTGTATCATTTTATCCTTTTACCTGCTTAAAGCAGTGACTTTTAGTTAAATAAACTTTAAGAGAGTGAATCTTGGTTTGTTCCTGTTCACAACCACATTTCTTTACGCTCCCTAACAACATCATCTCCTAGTCGAGCTGGGGGCCGTAAAACACAAACACACTCACTGCTTTTTCCTCCCACTGAGCAGCTGTCTGCCGGTTCGCTGGGGCGAGAGCTCTGATGCGCCGAGGATAGCTCTTTCTCTTTTCCTGTTCCCACTGAGCAGCAGCTCCATGGTACAGACAGTTTAGGGCGACCCATTTCTCCTGAGTCTCCGTTTGATGTGCTGAGATTGCACCAATCGAAAGGTCTGGCTTTAATTATGTTCTGTCTCTATGGAGGTTTCTGGTATTTTCTCACTTTGAAGCTATCATAGTGAATCTGCAACAAGCTAGGTCACGGAACACTCACCCCTCCACTCCCACTCGGGTATCTTTCCTGAGATGTTTCTGTTGGAACCGATGCCTGAGAAAACGAGAGCGCTCTAAACACCAGTCACCTTTTTCTAGGTCTAAATGTCTTTTGTTGTCCGTGACTTCAAACAGTGTTTTTCTTTTTGGGACTCAGGTAGTTTGTCCTAAAGTAGAAGTGGTAGCAGCCGGCTGTTTCTTCTTCTCTGATATTATTGAGCCGTGTTTCTCGTACACCAGTGGTGTTCTGTAGCAAATTAGGCAAGTTTATAGCAGCTGCTACTGGACAGAGACTGGTTTGATACATTGGGGAACACAAAGAGGGGGCCACCTATTGAGGACCACTGCTGTGCAGGCTGAGGGTGGATGGGGGTGATGTATGTTTTCTGTGGGTTTCTGCTTATGTGTGTGTGTGTGGGGGGGGGGGGGGGCAATGAGGGGGCAGACTCTGAGGCTAAGGATTCACTTAGGAGTGAGGTGGTGGGATTGGGAGTGGAGATAGGATTGCCGGAATATCACTCTGTGATTGCCTGGGAGATAGTGGGGCTACGGCAGACCTCCTGGGATGAGGGCTTGTAGGGTAGGGCCTTTTATGGGCTGCAGAGGTTGGTGGGCGATGAGACGCTGGACATGGCTTTTAAGAGGAGGTCCACTGTGGCGTTGACCCAATTAAGGCTGGGCTATTGTGGTCTCAGGAGCAGGCTGTTCTTGGTGGGAAAACACTTGGATGGGAGGTGTGATTGTAAGGCACCGGAAACTGTGACCCACGTCGTATTGACATGCCAGCGGTATGCGAGCGAGCTGCGCTCCCTATTTGGTTGTGAGGTGAGGGTGTTCAGGCTCGGGACGGTGTTGGAGGTGAGGAACAGACGGGGAGTGAAGGTGCTGCCGGATTTCTTGCGTGCTTTGGGGGTGTATGACCAGCTCTAGCGGGGGGAGTGTATGGTTTTGTCTTGGTGATAGCAGCAATATGCCTTTTTGGCATCTAGGCTGTTGTATCCTTCAAAGAAGAAGAATGGACAGAGACTGAGAGACCAGATCCATGCCATGTCTCCTTTGTTGGCACCATTAGTGTTTTAAAGGGTTTTAGGGGTTTTTAAAGGGTGAAGGTAAGAATGCTTTTAAAGTTTTAAAACAGACAAGGGACCAGAGTGCTGGCTCTCTTTTGGCTGTCAAACCTGCAAGTATGATCAGCAGACCTTTGTTTGGGGGATATGGTCAAGGCAAGGGACCAACGTTTGGTCTGTTTGAGAGCTTTTAGATGTCTGTTTTAATTGAGAATCCCCATTTTAAACATGTAACCACTTGCCTTTAAATGCTTGTATTTATTGAACTTTTATTGGAACTTTGTGTTTTAAAATCCTTATTTATATTAAAATAGTATTTGAATTTTTCCATCCTGCACACGCCTCTTTCATTTTGTGGTCCCTCTTTCATTTTGTGGTCCTTCATTTTTAAAACCAACCTGGTTGTAGCACTATGTTAGAACGTTGTTAAGACGCGTGAAAAATGTTTTAAGCTAAGTTGTTTTCCAAATTTGCTATTGCAGATATGAGTGTAAATGGTGGCGTAATTGGTAGCACTGGTGCCGTGCAGTAAGAAGGTTGCAGGTTCAAATCCCATTGGCATTTTTCCTGCATGGAGTTGGCACGTGTGGGTTTCTGGCAGCATACTCTGGTTTCCTCCCACATACCAAAAACATGCATTTCAGGTTTGATTTCAGACTCTAAATTGTCCCTGAGTGTGTATGACTTGTTGTCTCTACATGTGTCCCTGTGATGGACTGTATACCTGTGCATGGTGTCTCCTGTCTCTCACCCAATGGCTGCTGGAGTTGGGCACTAGCAACCTGCGTCTCTACGGTAAAAGATGAGTGAGTTTAAAGTCATATGAAGAGACGAAATATTAAAACCCAGCAATATTTTCAATTGTCTGAAGCCTGATTCATGCTTCTCCGTCTGCGTCAGTGCGGAGACACGCAACGTCCTTGCGGGCCTGCCGGAGAGCTCCGCAAGGACGGACGGAGTCGAGCTCTCTTTTCTAAACATCCGTCAGTCAAGACGGACAACGCAAGCTTGTGATTGGTCAGGACGCTGCTGTTGTTTACAGCGCCGCCATTGCGCCCTCAAAAACGGGGGCAGTTCCTAGGGAGTGGCAGACCGGGGTGGTGGTCCCCATCTTTAAGAAGGGTGACCTGAGGGTGTGTTCCAACTATAGGGGGATCACACTCCTCAGCCTCCCTGGAAAGGTCTACGCCAAGGTACTGGAGAGGAGGGTCCGATCGATAGTTGAATCTCAGATAGAGGAGGAGCAATGTGGTTTTCGTCCTGGCCGTGGAACTGTGGACCAGCTCTATACCCTTGCAAGGGTGATGGAGGGGGCATGGGAGTTTGCCCAACCAATCCACATGTGCTTTGTGGATTTGGAGAAGGCTTGTGACCGTGTCCCCAGGGGCACCCTGTGGGGGACGCTCCAGGAGTATGGGGTGGGTGGCTTTCTGTTAAGGGCCATTCAGTCCCTTTACCAGAGGAGCGTGAGTTTGGTCCGCATAGCCGGTAGTAAGTCGGACCTGTTTCCAGTGAGGGTTGGACTCCGCCAGGGCTGCCCTTTGTCACCGGTTCTGTTCATCACTTTTATGGACAGAATTTCTAGACGCAGCCGTGGTGTGGAGTGTGTCGAGTTTGGTAGCAGGAGAATCTCGTCTCTGCTTTTTGCGGATGATGTGGTCCTCCTAGCTTCATCCAGCTCTGACCTTCAGCTCTTGCTGGGTAGGTTCGCGGCCGAATGTGAAGCGGCTGGGATGAGGATCAGCACCTCCAAATCTGAGACCATGGTTCTCGACCGGAAAAGGGTGGCTTGCCACCTCCGGGTCGGGGGAGAGGTCCTACCTCAAGTGAAGGAGTTTAAGTATCTCGGGGTCTTGTTCACGAGTGAGGGTAGGAGGGATGGGGAGATCGACAGGCGGATTGGTTCGGCGTCTGCAGTGATGCGGACGCTGAGCCGATCTGTCGTGGTTAAGAGGGAGCTGAGCCAGAAAGCCAGGCTCTCGATTTACCGGTCGATCTACGTCCCAATCCTCACCTATGGTCATGAGCTTTGGGTAATGACCGAAAGAACGAGATCGCGGATACAAGCGGCCGAAATGAGTTTCCTCCGTAGGGTGGCCGGGCTCAGCCTTAGAGATAGGGTGAGGAGCTCGGACATTCGGGAGGGACTCGGAGTAGAACCGCTGCTCCTCTGGATCGAAAGGAGCCAGTTGAGGTGGTTTGGGCATCTGGTCAGGATGCCTCCTGGACGCCTCCCCGGGGAGGTGTTTCGGGCATGTCCTGCCGGCAGAAGGCCCCCAGGTCGACCCAGGACACGTTGGAGAGGTTACATCTCCAATCTGGTCCGGGAACGCCTTGGGGTCCTGCCGGAGGAGCTGGTGGACAAGGCCGGGGAGAGGACGGCCTGGAGCTCCCTAATTGGTATGCTGCCCCCGCGACCCGGACCCGGATAAGCGGAGGAAGACGAAGACGACGAAGACGAAGACATTGCGCCCTCAAAAACATAAAGAGAGTCGAGGATAACAAGCGGCAGACATGGAGCAGCTTGA